AAACCAAATGACCATGAAATTTATGGTAACTTCAGCGAAACAAAAGACAAGATGGGTCTGCCTGTGAATGGTTATGATGTTGATGATGATTTAATGAATGAGTCCGAATTGAAAACTATTATGCAAAATGTCTACAAATTAATGGCTAGTGGAACTTCTCGCCTGAGTAACCTGAAGTTCAACGATAAATCTAAGAATCTTGATTTCAATGCGATAAACATGATAGCTCAATCAAAAGTACAATTGGACGAATGGGATGTAGTAAGTAAAATGTATTGATCCAATTAATATATGTATATAAGTTCTCTTGTGTATATTAGAGTACATAGTGTGTAAATTTTGTCACATGATAAATTCCTCAAAATTAATCTCCCTGCTCTTATCGAAGAATGGTTGGAAAGAAGAGGGAGATCTATAATCTAAAACGATTGATTCAATTGAATTCTAGATTACACAGTGTAAGACATGTTAAACGATAAAGAATTATATGAGTTAAATAAAAAGGCCGTTACTGAAGGGTTTAACATTAAACCAAGAATTAATTATAACACTGTTGGAGGTGTCAATGGTCCGTTAGTTATATTAGATAATGTGAAATTCCCACGTTACAATGAAATTGTTAACTTAACTTTGCCTGATGGATCAGTCAGATCAGGTCAGGTTTTAGAAGTCAAAGGTAGTAAGGCCATTGTTCAAGTTTTCGAAGGTACGTCAGGGATTGATGTCAAGAAAACTAGAGTTGAATTTACAGGTCAAAACTTGAAGATTGCTGTATCTGAAGACATGTTAGGTCGTATTTTTGATGGTTCAGGTAGGCCAATTGACAAGGGTCCAAAGATTTTCGCTGAAGATTACTTGGATATTAACGGTTCTCCAATTAATCCATATGCGCGTATTTATCCAGAAGAAATGATTTCTACTGGTATTTCTGCTATTGATACTATGAATTCGATTGCTAGAGGACAAAAAATCCCTATTTTTTCTGCTTCTGGTTTACCACATAATGAAATTGCTGCACAAATATGTAGACAAGCGGGTTTAGTTAGACCAACTAAGGACGTTCATGATGGTCACGAAGAAAACTTCTCTATTGTTTTCGCTGCTATGGGTGTTAACTTAGAAACTTCGAGATTTTTCAAGCAAGATTTCGAAGAAAACGGGTCATTGGAAAGAACTTCCTTATTCTTAAATTTGGCAAATGATCCAACAATTGAAAGAATTATCACCCCTCGTTTGGCATTGACTACTGCTGAATACTTAGCTTATCAAACTGAAAGACATGTTTTAACTATTTTGACTGATATGTCTTCATATGCTGATGCTTTAAGAGAAGTTTCGGCGGCAAGAGAAGAAGTTCCAGGTAGAAGAGGTTATCCAGGTTATATGTACACAGATTTGTCTACTATTTATGAAAGAGCTGGTAGAGTTGAAGGAAGGAATGGTTCGATTACCCAAGTTCCAATTTTAACAATGCCTAACGATGATATTACTCACCCAATTCCGGATTTAACTGGGTATATTACTGAAGGTCAAATTTCTGTAGATCGTCAATTAGATAATAAAGGTATCTATCCACCAATTAATGTTTTGCCTTCATTATCACGTTTGATGAAATCAGCTATCGGTGAAGGTATGACTAGAAAAGATCATGGTGACGTTTCAAATCAATTATATGCTAAATATGCTATTGGTAGAGATGCAGCAGCGATGAAAGCTGTTGTCGGTGAAGAAGCTTTGTCCACTGAAGATAAATTGTCATTGGAATTTTTAGAAAAATTCGAAAAGAACTTCGTTTCTCAAGGTGCTTACGAAAATAGAACTGTTTTCGAATCTTTAGATCAAGCATGGGCATTGTTGAGAATCTATCCAAAGGAAATGTTAAATAGAATTAGTCCAAAGATCTTAGCTGAATTTTATGAAAGAGATAGAGAACAAGAAGACGATGATGATGAGGAAGAAGAAGATGCTGATAAATCGCACGACAATTTGATTGATGCTTAAACTTTATTAACTTTAGATTTTTTAGTTTTGCTTTTTATTTTATTTCATCTTATTTCACTATATTTATCGTCATCAGTTTCTTTCTTTTGTTTCTAATTTAAAATTATAGCAATAAAATACTCGTTTTTATTTCTTGTAATTATTTTTTGTAATTAGAGGTTGTATAAATGCACTAAGTGTTAATATAATGACGTTACATACAACGCAGATGTATAATAAATAACATGATATTCCCAAATATCTATTCTCATTTAATTATATAAAGTGATTCTAATGAAATTTTATTTAATAACAAGACTTTTTGGAATTTAAAGAAATATGAATTATTTCACTATATTACATAGGCGTTTGAAAGTTTAGTTCGATGCCTCTTGTTCTCTTCTTAAATTACCGATGTGATTAATTGCAGAACCGGCTTTAAAAAATTCAATTTGATCTTTAGACATAGTGTGCTTACACAAGATTTCAAATTCAGTACCATCTTTTTTAGTTACCTTCATTCTTAAAATCCCTCCGTTATTACCATCCTTAGCAATCATGTCCTTTAAATCAACCGTGGTTAATAAGTCACATGGAGAAATTTTATCATAGTCAGCTTCATCAGCAAAAGTTAAAGGTAACATACCTTGTTTCTTTAAGTTTGTTTCATGAATTCTAGCAAATGATTTAACTAAAATGATCGAACCGCCCAAAAACCTTGGTGATAATGCAGCGTGTTCTCTTGCAGAACCTTCACCGTAGTTGTGTTCGGCAACAACAACCCATGGACGATCTTCATCTTTCCATTTCATCATTAATTCAGGAATGCTATGCTGATCACCATTTAAGTCATAGGCTTTATTCACTTCACCTGTATCTTTATTAACTGCACCAATTAAAGTATTGTATGAGATATTTTCTAAGTGGCCTTTATATTTCAACCAAGCACCAGCAGCAGAGATATGATCAGTGGTACATTTACCTTCTACTCTAAGCAATACATTAGTAGACATCTCATCACCTGACCAAGGTTGGAAAGGATCTAAAAGTTGCAACCTATCAGAGTCTGGTGAAACGTTAACGTCAACATCAGCTTTTGGCTGTGGATCAGCTTCTGGATAGAATTCCTTACGTCCCTTAATAAATCCACTACCTGGTAATTCCTCACCAATAGGAGGTTGAAACCTAAAAGATTTTCCATTTGGCAATTCAATGGAGTCAGTAACCGGGTTAAAACTCATGTCTCCTGAATAAATCATAGCAGTAACCATGTCGGGAGAAGTTAAGAAATTCATAGTATTTCTGTTACCATCATTTCTTGCTCTGAAATTTCTATTAAAAGATGTGAAGATTGCATTAGATTCAGTAGAAGTTTTTGAAACATCCGTTCTGTCCCATTGACCAATACAAGGACCACATGCATTAGCTAACACAATTGCGCCGTTTTTCTCGAAAGTATCAATTAATCCATCTCTTTCGATAGTAGCCCTAATTTGCTCTGAACCAGGAGTAACAAAGAATGGAATCTTCGGCTTCAAGCCTGCATCTTCGGCTTGTTTAATAAGAGAAACAGCACGAGACATATCTTGATAAGAAGAGTTGGTACAAGAACCAATTAACCCAGCACTAACAGTGGAAGGCCAGTTTTCCTTTTTCGCAGTTTCACCAAATTCAGAAATAGGTGTCGATAAATCTGGAGTGAAAGGACCATTAACATGAGGTTCTAACTCAGATAAGTTGATTTCAACTACCTTATCATATTCAGCACCTTCATCTGCTCTCAAGAAGTTGAATTCTTTATTAGCAACATCAGCAGCCTTAGAAATTGGTTCTCTATCTGTTTGAATCAAATAACGACGGTGGGCATCTTGATAAGGAAAAGTCGAAGTAGTTGCACCAATTTCTGCTCCCATATTACAAATAGTGGCCATACCTGTACAAGATAAACTTTCCACGCCATCTCCAAAATATTCAACAATATAGCCAGTACCACCACGAACAGTTAAAACACCTGCCAAATGGGTGATAACATCCTTTGGCGAAGACCAGCCAGATAAGTGACCGGTTAATTTAACACCTAATACTTTTGGTGCTTTTAATTCCCATGGAGTACCAGTTAAAGCATCAACTGCATCAGCACCGCCAACACCAATTGCGATAGCACCTAAACCACCAGCATTTGGGGTGTGCGAATCAGTTCCTAACATCATCAAACCTGGAACAGAAAAGTTTTCTAAAACAATTTGATGGATGATACCCGAACCTGGTCCCCAGAATTGAATACCATATTTTTCACCGCAGCTTTGTAAGAAATCAAAAACTTCTTTATTTGTAGCGATGGATTTAGTCAAATCGTCCTCAGCACCATCTTTCCCGACAATTAAATGATCACAATGAATAGAACCAGGAACTGCAGTTTTCGACATACCGCATGTCATGAATTGTAATAATGCCATTTGGGCGGACGCATCTTGCATTGCAACTCTATCAGGATTCAATTTTAAGTATTCTTGACCTCTGATATTAGATAACTGGCCCTTGCATGACGCTAAACTCTCTTCTGGATCAACCAAATGAGAATATAATATCTTTTCTGCTAATGTTAATGGTTTGTTATCAACGATCTTTTTGACCAAGTTTAATTTTTCTATTAATTTAGCATAAGGTGGTGTTCTTGATACATAATCTTGGGGAACTTCAAGAGACGAAAATTTTGCTTGAGTAGCTAACTTTCTAATACCATTAAGGGCACGGTTTGCTCCAATAGATCTCCTAGCACTTAACATATTACCGTTTTAGTATAGTACAAGATTCTATATGTAGACAATGTTTTATACTAATTCTTTGAAATTTTTCACTAACTTTCGTGGACCAATTGTTTACCTCATAGATATTATGACTCAGAAGAAATTTTTGATATCGCGTATTTGTTCATAACCGAAACTGATTGCAAAAAAAAAATTAGCGATATCGAGATTCTAATAAAATGTACATTAAATCAAAGCTATACTAAACAATAACTAACTAGCATCTCTTGGTTGAATCAAACAACTCAACTTCCAGGCTCTATCTTCTTCCTTTCTGTTTAATTGGCAGACCTTCCATAATTCTAATAAAATTAATTCTTGTAAAGGCGGAGCAGGAACAATGTTATATTCATCCAGATCAGTCGTTTTGCTAGCACCGATACCAAGTAATAAACTACTTCTCCTGCGTTCATTCGACGTGTTAGTATCCGCATCTATATATGAAGTTTGTAAGCTTTCAATATCAGCAATGATTCTGGTAGTCTTTAAGTACTTATCAATGTTAATAACTTTTTGGTTCAAGAACGAATTTGCCTTTCTATAGTTAGGATTACCATCAGTAACGAATGTCAAATCCTGCAAGAACAACGAAAAATACGGAACGATTGGAATATTATACTCGTTGGACACCAAAAAGTTTCTAAGCTTTGTCCTGTACACATTGAAGTTCTTCTGAGGATGGATAATTCCAGACAAGTATTCGTATAATTCTTTATATTTATCCGATAAATCGACCCAAACCTTAGTTAATCTTGTAATCAAATGGGATTGCAAAGAGGTGATAATTGAAGCCAAAGAATTGAAATTTCGCAAATACAAGCATGATATAGCTACCTTCAACCAAGTCTTAATAATGTTGACTCTCATCTTTTGATTAATTTTAGGTTGTAAAATCGATTCCAAAACATAACCGGATAAACAATTTGTGAATAATAAAGACTGTCTAATATTAGGGGCTAACTTTAAGTGAGCTCTCTTGGCGGTAAAGTTTTGGTTTAATAATTCGTCTGGCTTAATAGAACAGAAGATATGTGATTCGATCAAGGTAAGCTGCTTAGCAAGCTCTAATCCGTTAAAGTCTAATAAATTTGGCCTATAGTTGGAAAGAACCCAACTTTGATCACAAACGTTATACCACTTACTCAAAATACTAGCTAAACTTAATGGTATGAATGTTTTTGTATTAATATATTTCGCTGGACACCAACTATCTCCCAAAATAGCTCTGAAAGTCAAATTCACCTTTTCTATGGTGATCAATTGATTCTTAGTTAATAATGAGCTTGATGATGATGTTTGATTTCCAACTCCTAATGGTAATGATAATGACATTGATTTTAAACTAGAAGTTGATGATTTCGTGTTGATCCTAGACAATTCATAACCGTCTACCATTGAATATCTTGATGAAAGGGTATTATCTGCGAAACCGCTTGACCGCTTTCTATTAGACCTGGTTACAGTGATGCTTCTGCTAATCAATTGCTTATCTGTTCTTGGCCTACGGTTACGTTTTTGATTCTCAGTTAAAGGTTTTGAAGATAATCTTGCTGCAACTTCCAATAATTTTAAAGAATCCAAAGGTAGGTAAACTGATATTCCCTCATTGAAGAAATTTACTAATGTAGTTAATAAAGAACTATCCGCTTCATGATTCCAGTAAGATTCTAACCATAACTGGAACATCTTAATGATTAATTTCCTCCTATTCTTGAGTCTCATTTCTTCGCCAATATCAGACTTTTCATTATTTCTAAACGTCGTATGATTCATTTCAAATCTTGTTATTAATTCTTCTATTAAATCAATACCATTAGCGAAACTTCTGAAACAAATAAAAAATGTCGAGACGAAAAAGTATTCTGGAGGAGATATTTCATTCGTCAAAGTATAAACTAATCCTTTGAATGATGCTCCTAATAAATTACCATTTTCATCCACCAATAATTCATCATTAATGTTGTGCCTCTCGGTAGACGTTTCTTTGTTACTAGTAGTGAATTTTTCAAATTCGGGATTAGAGCTGAATGAATCGTCAGTCTGAAGTACGTCATGTAGCATATTTGCTCCACTTGGTGTTATACTTAAGTCACCCGGTTTCCCAGATCTAATCATAGAGTACCTGTTAGATGCCCTCCCTTTAGGAGGTTGCAATGTATTCAACCCACGGCCTTTAAGCATCTGAGTTTTAGCAATTCCGATAGAGCATTTCTTGACAAAATCTTCTGGTTCAACTTTCATTTTAGAGTAGTCAGGGTAAGATCTTTCTGAATTCAATTTAAAATCACCAGTAACTTCTAATAACCTTCTAATAGAAGAGATTGTTTTACTGATAGATTTAATCATTCTAGCTGCAATTTGAATCAAATCACCACCTTCTTGGGTATAGTAATAATCTTTCATTGGAGTACTTTGAACACCCTTCTCGTTTATCAGATTCTTTTGATCTTCATCAGATTCATTCAATGTCTTCATAATCAAACTTTTCACGCCTGAAACTAAGTCGCTCACCAAAGATAATAACGCATCTAACGAACCATCCAAGTCCGCAGGTTTTTCGGAAGAAAAGTCTGAACCAGTTTTGGAAATAAATAATAATTCTCTTAACAATAATATAACCTGATGAGTGACTGTTTCCAAAATATCGCATCCAACAGAATTATGTTCAATTAAATCAAGTCTTCCAATAATCAAACCTAAATAAGAATATAACAATCCATTTATTTCAGTTATTCTTTGTTTTGCTTGTGGAGGAGATGGTAACAATGGATAATTATTCATATCATTCTGTAACTTCTTTTCATTCTCTCTCTTAATAATCTGTCTACTTTCAATTGACCAAACTTGTAAGAATGCAATTGCCTTTTTGGTAACTTGGTAGACCATTAAGGTCAATATCTCAATTTTATTGAAATTTGATGTCCCTTTAAATTCATTCGCTTTTAGCATCAAATTATACCAATCGGCTAGCAAAGATTTACGAGTTTTTCTAACTATTTCTCTTTTAGTAACAATTTCATTAGTTCTTGATAAACAATCAGTTTCTTGCAATAAGATTCTAACCCCATCTCTAATTGAATTCACTACTCTTGTTGAAAAAGTAAATCTTCCACGACGATTCTTATGTGATAAAGGATTTATTAAGAATTTACCACAAGAATGAAATAACGGTTTCAAATAAACACTGTTCGGTATTCTTCCAGTGTCTTCCTCTAAATCTTCTGTGGACCTCGTTTCATCAATATTATCATCATTAACTGCAATTGTGAAATAATTCATTGGAATCCAGCCCCGTTGTAATGAATCTATCATCGTCACTTCACCCCATCCAGAGTCATCAATAGTGTGAACAAAAGCTAAATCGTCTTTCTCGAACGATAAACATATCGAGGCATCTGATTCAAGCTGTAAGGATGATGAATCAAATGGGTGCAATGCCCTTATAAATAAGGATGATAAATTCTCTTCATCCAATTGATTATCTGATACTGTTGATTCTGGTATGCTCTCGTTAACGTTCTCGTCAGTGGTATCAATTTCAGCTGTTGTGTCTGAATCTTCGTATGATTTATTTCTTGGATCGAGTGAAGAATCAGTATACTTGATATTTAAACCATTAGTCTCTTCTTCTTCCACATTTTTTCCATCCCCAAGACTCATTGAAGCAATAAACATGTCAACTTTTTCTTTCTCTGATACATTTTTTTTGCTATCATCGCCTGGAATTTGTTCAATTTTTTGCAATAAATCCTTTCTTATCGGAACATCGTCGTCGTCTATGGTGGAAATACTAGTTTTTTTCACAACTTTTAGAGGGGAAATTCTAGAACCCCGTATATTAGTATACGAATTCTTACCACTAGTGCTCTTTGAAGATGTTGGACTACTATCCTCGCTCTGAACATTATTAAAATTGAAACTAGAAGAATTGCTCAATATAGGCTTGTCCAGATAAGTACTATTCCTAAGTGAATTATTAGCACTGCTAGTTGCATCATTGTAGTCATTTTCATACCCTATTATACTTGATCTATTACTTATTGTACTGACTTCTGATTGTGTGCCATTAATTACATGGTCTTCATCCACTTCATCATGTGGTATAGGTTCACTTATCTTTTGGTAATAAGAGCTTGTTCTATCATTTGAATCTCTATTATTTAGGCTTAATCTATTGGCCTTTTCAATGTTTTGCTGGAAAGAATTCATAAACTGAAATGAATCCCCTGAGGTAGCCATATTAGATTGTTGTAAAGTCATAGATAATCTTTGAAACTTTCTACTCAAATCCTGCTGTGGTAATAGCGTTGTCTTTCCATGTGGATTTAATAAATTGTCAGACCCCAGTTTTACAAACTTTCCATCTATCCCCACTATAGGAGTTCTGTCATCTATAGGGTCCTGGAATGATGAGGGCATGTTGACTAGGGGAGTAGCATCTTCATCGGGTTCCATGCTCCCTGGAGATAGAGTTTCGTCATGATTATAATTCAAACTATCTTGACTATTCCTGAGCAATGAGTTATTGATGGAACTGAAACTCATATCGCCCTCATTGTTCGCTGTCATGTAACTCTGTAATGTTTGGTTACTTTCTCCTTGTACGAGCGGCTGGAAATCATCATACGAGACGTATTGAGTGCTGCCTGTCTCACAACTACCATGAGATGATTGGCGACGGTCAAATTCATCCATAGCTTCTTCTCCTCTCCTTTCTTCTATTCCTTCTTCTCTCTCTTCTTCAGGTATGTTATTATACTTATTTTCAAATCCAAATTCTGATTCTATCGGAGAATATACACTCGACGACGTACTAATGTGTCTATTGTCTGCTGTTAAATGAGGTGCCTGATACATTATTAGATACTATTAAATTAATTCAATACTAACTCCAATATATTTCTCTTCTAGTATGGATTTAGTATCTTGCAATTCTCACTTTCTGTACGTATATAGTTTAAAGATTACCCTCCTAATTCAGTTGTTGATTAAAATCGCGTGTGAGATTCAGATTAAAATTTCGTGTAAATTTTTTTACGCGTGTATCTTAAACGATTTTTGATGGTTTCACCAACAAAGAGTTTTTTGAGCCACTGAAAGAAGGGGCATAAATATGGCATATATGCCGGTTTTTTCGATTATATGTAGGTAGAGGTCTATTTGACTTCCTATAAGGTTAATTCTAGGCACCTGAGATCTATATTAATTGAGACAGACCGTTTGATTATGCAATGAGTTTTATCTCACAGTAGAATGTAGCAGGATTGGTTGTATGGGTAACAACGCACTTCAATACAGTCAATGAATTCAGGGATAGAATTCTAAATATACCGTAGAGGTTTCGGTTAGTAGTTCATTACGAGAATAAGGAGATATGTCTATTAAAACATACGACATGAAACTTTTATAGCAGGGTCATGGTTCGAACACGGTGTATTGTGTGTGCAAAAGAGATGTAATGTTGAATCCAGATGGCCAGGCATATTTTCAGTAAATTTGATGGAAGCTGCTTACCAGACAGAACCTACAAGGCTTTTATTTTATATGTATTGCGTATTGGCAGAAATTGGATATTACTTTGTATATATATATAGCAATCAAGAAGGTGCCTGAAATGCTCGAAGGCGGAATGACAGTTTGCTTTTTGAATGGTTCAAAATGCCTGGCAAAAAGTCCTGCTGATAATAGTGAGAGAGCAAGCTGAAAAAAAATATCTGAAGAAAAATGTACGAAACAAAAAGACTTCGATTTAAGCATTTCGTCCAGACAATTCGAAGATGGTCCTGTTTACGTGTACTACGTGCTCTACTTCTCAAGATGAAGCTGAAATGTCTAAGCATTTATCTACAACAAGACATAAAAAAGTAATATTTGACTCTTTAAATGAAGTCATCGAATGTGAAGAATGTGAAGATTCCAATATCCATCAATTGCTGCTCTTAAGGTTCGGTTTATCAGACATGGCACTTTTATGCCAGCTTTGTCTCTCTAAAGATGAAAAACCTTCTACACAGTATTCGCTATCAAATGGATCTCTTTTGAAAAAACTTGATCAATACTATAAATTTAGAGATATCGAGTGTCAGCTTTGCCTGTCAGATGACAGACTATACGTTGGTAATAATAAATCTAATGGTGCCCAGCTTATAGTATGTCAAAAGTGCTTGCCGGAAGTATCAGATAACCAGGTCAATTTTGTTAGCGAAAATGACGATAAGTTTCTTTATGAATTTCTAGGAATTAAAGAATATGTTCCACCATCCAAATCAAGAAAAGATAAGGGTCGTTCAAGAAAAATTGGTAGGAAAGGAGGAAAGAAGGGTAATGATAAGATGTCCAGTAAAGCAAATGGAAAACCGGTATCTAAAGATGCAGAAGAAAGGAAGGCGCATTTCTTCAATTCTAAAGCTAATTCAGTAGCTATAAAATCTGGTAAGACTATTTTAGCTGTTGGATCTAATGACGCTAGTCCCTCTCCTTCTAAATCAAGTTCTAGAGCGTCTACGCCGAGATCAACCACACCAGTCCAATCAAAACCAAAACAGATCTCTTCAAAAGATAAATTTTCTGCTAGAAAAACACCTATCACAAAGGATACGAAATATATTGGCAACAAATTTAAGGATAATTCGCCAGGTATTAAAAAGACGGTCAATTCAAATGTAATATCAAGAAAACCTAATAATACAAAGACCGACGATCGTAACCATTCATTAAAGCCAAACAACTCTTCCAAGAAACCTGAAGATAAAAAAGAAATGATTGTTCAGAAAACTGACAAACCTACAAACAGAAAAGCTTCTGAAAATAAGAAACCTAATAAAAAGGCTACAGATATGAACAAAGCTGAAGAAATCAAAGCTGACAAGAATTCCGAGAAAAAGCCACTCAAAAAGAATGAAAAGATAAATAGTGGAGATAGTATCGGTGAAATGAAGGTATCAAAAGATAGGAATAATAATAATGATAAACAAAAATCAAATGAAAAAGCGATTCCCCATAAATTGGATTCTAATAAATCGGAGAACAAGAAAAGTAAAGTAAATGATAAAAAACCCGCATCAGCCAATGATAAAAAGAAAAATAATACAAATAACCAACCCAAGGAAGAGCAGCTAATTGTCCCTTCAAATATTGAAAAATATGAGCCATCCATAGAGCCAAAATTGACGTATGATTCCATGCTTTCATATTTCCAAGAAATGTCATACAATTTATTTTTAGAAGAAAAAATGAGTATGCATTCCAATAACAACTCATACCTTGAATCAAACGAAATGTCCATTGAATGGTATGCAGATCAGGATAAAAAACACAAACAGTTTAAACTCAATATTCTATTAACTGAAGAAATAATGAATCGATTCATTTCGAAGAAAATGCAATCTCTTAAAAAATCACCATTTTCTTTGAGTCAATCTGTATTTTTAATTTTGGGTGACGAAATCCCATGGTATGGTCAAATTGTTACCTCAGATACCAAAAGTGCTACGAAGGGACGCCGTGGCGGCCTTAAGGTTTTAGAAATCGTTATTGAATTATATAAATGGAACACTCAACCGTTACCACATACTGTGAATGTCAAATGGTTGAAAATCTTGCCCGTTTCTATTCCAGTTAGCAGAGTATTCATTGCCATGTCAAGAATTGAGAATCCAAAGTTCATTAACATGATTCTTGGTAAAGAACCTATCAAGCAGATCGTATTTAAGAATTATTTAAAGTTTACCAAAGATACATTCAATGATTCTCAAAAGGTTGCCATTCAATCTGTATTAAATAATTCTATTACTGTCCTACAAGGTCCTCCAGGAAGTGGTAAAACTTCCACTATTTACGAAATTATATTACAATTGTTAGACAATTTGAATACGTTTCCTATTTTAGTTGTTGCAGCCTCTAATATTGCAATTGATAATATTGCGGAAAAATTACTTGAAAAGCATGGAAGATCAATTTTAAGAATTGTTTCGAATGAAAAAGAAAGAGAGTATAATAGAGACCATCCATTGGCTTCCATTTGTTTACATCACAAAGTTTATGACGCTCTTCCTATGGCAATGAAACAGACTATAGATGATATGAGAAGATTCAATGGACCTAAAGTCAGTCAAAACCAATATAAAAAACTATTAACTAAGCAAATTGAACTTAGTGATATATTTATAGCCCAAGCAAAAGTCATCTTCACAACAACGGTTGTCGCAGGTGGTAATCAATTAAAATCTGTTAAAAAGTTGCCTGTTGTTATTATGGATGAAGCTACTCAATCTTCAGAGCCAACTACGTTGATTCCATTATCCGTGCCTGGTGTTCAGAAGTTTGTGTTTGTAGGTGACCAAAAGCAGTTGAGTAGTTTCTCGCAGGTACCTAACCTATCTTTGTCCCTTTTCGAAAGAGTACTTTTAAATGGCACTTATCGTACGCCTCATATGCTTGATACACAATATAGAATGCATCCAATGATCAGTGAGTTTCCAAGAAATAGGTTTTATGGGAGCTTATTGAAAGATGGTATAACCGCAGAAGATAGAATCTTGGAAGGAATCCCCTCCAATCCCGTATACTTCTGGGACACTTGTGGAACAGCACAAGAAGAAAGGGTTAGAATTAATTTCCGTGAAGACAGGGGCTATACATATTCCAACAGAAGTGAGATTTCATATATCACAAAAGCAGTATTAAAATTAATCTATGACAAGGGTATACCTAAATCTGAAATTGGTATTATTACTCCGTATAGAGGTCAACGTGATTTGATTTCCTCAGTCCTTGTTAAAAATGATTTGATTAATCCTGAAAAAAATGATATTCTCGTTGAGGTAGACCGTGATGACATATATAATGAATCGAAACCGGTAACAATTCATACCGTTTCGGATATAATGATTGCATCTATTGACGCATTTCAAGGACGTGAGAAAAATTTCCTTGTTATGTCCTGTGTCAGATCTAACAAAGAAAACAATATAGGATTCTTGGGTGATGAAAGGAGATTAAATGTTGCATTGACTAGAGCAAAATATGGTTTGATAATAATAGGTGATGTGCAGTGTTTACGTAAAGGTAACCCATTGTGGAGGGAATATTTGGAACATTTACAAGGTCATGATTCTATACATAAAGCTGATGAATTTTTGTACTAATTTATTATTTATTTATTTATATTTCATAGACTTACTAGTCAGTCATATTAAAGGCTCGATTTGAACTAGGTAAAATAATGCATATGCGAATACAAAAGGAAAGGGAAAAAAAATGTATAGCAGTAATGCAAGACCTACATTTAGTCTAAATAGATTTAGCATTTATAGAAGCATGGATTGATATCTTTCATCACTGTCCTTTGATTAGCTACTTTTAGTTGCGAAAAATTTAAAAAAAAGAAGTGGCGACAACTGCAGGACTCGAACCTGCGCGGGCAAAGCCCAAAAGATTTCAAGTCTTTCTCCTTAACCGCTCGGACAAGTTGCCTTATTCTTAGTTTCTACAATTTTTGTGGTGTACTGTACCCGTCTTTTGTTTCACGAATCCCCTGTCCATAAATTTTCATACTTGCCATATGTATTGATATATAAATATTACTCTAATTGACTTTCAAATGTCTTGATGAGACTCTCAATGTCATCTCCACTTGAAACCGATTCATTAACTATGTTGTTAATACTTACTGTAGGAGTTACATGAACACCAACGTTTCTCAAGTATTTAGTAAAATATTTCAAATCAACCGTAGCCCCATTGCCTGAATTACTTTGCTTTCCCTTTTCAGTTTCACTCTGAATCGTCAATTCTTTCAATAAGTCATCCTTTGAAAATGGTAATGGCAATTTCTCAAATACCAAATCCGAAATTTGTTGATAAATTTCATTACGGTTTAAATTAACATTAGCAGTATCATAAAATGACTCCTTATTTTCAAAAAGTACTTCAGAGACATCCCAGAATAGCTTGTTGCTGTCAATGTCTTTTTCTAACTTTCCTCTCAATAATTTTGCCACAACTAAGGAAAATTCATGAAGAAGATTAGAATTAGTATGCCATGGTTGTACCACGTTAACAAAGACGAATTGAAACTTATTGGGATGTAATTCTTGTAATTTAGGGATAACCTGTGGCTTTAATTTCAAAAATAATTTAGCACTGAAAGGACAATTGTAATCCAAATACAAATTAACAACGTGTGGGGTGAAAGGTTTACCACTAGCTAATGTACGAGCTGAGTGATAATAATGAGTCGACGCAAACTTAGGGGATATCATTTTTAATAATATTAAATGAGATTTAGCAATAATATTTCTAGACTAATCTACGTATTGATTCAAAGAGTTGGTAGTGGGGGTGGCAGGTTTCGAGCACCAAAAATCATAAAAAAACCACAATATACATTCTGGACAGGCAATCTTAAAGGATAAAAAGATTGAAACTAGTAGAATTTATTAGATTACATTATATTACAATACTATTTTACTAAATAAGTTCAACATAAAGCGCATTATACGCCACTCTTCTTAATAATGCCTAATTTACATTATTATCCTCATTCAATCTTTCTCACGAAATTTTTCTTTTCGTACGTCAATACCAAATTTTTTGTATACTGGGCTCTCCCCTTTATCTTCTGTAATCGAGTTCAAGTCGTCATTCGATTTAGTGTCAGCATTAAGTGGAATATGTGGTGTCTTGAATGTACCCAGAAACGAAATACCATCCATTTTATACCTTTCAGCCATTATATCTGATAATAGTCTGGGCTTATTTGAAGAGTTAGCATCTTTAGAGCCATTCATAACCTTGGATTGCCCTTCCCCTTTAGCAGGTGTTTTTGGCTCGCTTGGAAGAATTATATCGCCAATAGAATCATGGCCTGGCCATTTTAACTCCGAATATTGACGACTCTTACTCCTATATTCTAAGATTACTCTATCTTCTTCACTATCAATATCGCTACTCATAAAGAGCTTACTAACTTCGCCCGCTTCTTTTTGTACAGCATTTGGACTTTCCAAATTATTGTCAAGTGTTCCAAACTGACTTTTATGAAATTCATTGTCTGCTATGTTTATGTTAGAGCTTTTGTCATTTGTTACGAATCCATTCCTAGAATTTGAGCTAACATTATGTGGATCGTTATTGTCTTTGGGAAGATTACTTGATATACTTGCAATATACTCTTGACGATCTATTCTGTTTGGCGCAATATTTTCTCCACTTTCTGTAGTTATGTGAAAAGGATTATGTATATTATTGATATTAGAAGACCTTATTGATTCGGGCGCGCTGCTTAAATCATTGTCTTCGGCCTCTGTTAGAATTACTTTACCATTCGATTCAGCTAGTCTAAGGATCGTGTTATCCTCGTCCCGTAGCATTTCTCTTCTCTTCTTTCTCTTTTGACCATCTTTAGATTTCTTCTTTTTCTTTCTATTCTCTTTCGTTGATGCCTCGTGTATAGAGCTTATTTTGTTATTGTCTTGTATGGCATCTTTTTTCTCCTGTGGTTCATCTAAATCTTCTATCGTGTTTACCCTTATCATTCGTGAACGACTCCTAAAAGGTGTTGAAGTATTAGACGTGGGGATATGCTGCGCCGGACTCATTTTATCGTTAGTTTCGTAAAACAACAGAGGTGACTCCATTACAGGTGGTGAAATTGGTACTGTTGAAGGTAATACTGGTACCGTTGGAGGTGAAAATGTTATAGCTGGTGATGATACTGATACAGCTGGTGGAGATAATGAAACAGTCGGTGGTGATACTGGTATTTCTAGTGGGGGTGATACCGGCGCAACACGTTGTGGTGTAGATACAGCATGTAGTGGTATAGATACAGGTGGCGATATAGATACAGGTGGTGGTATAGATATGGGTGGTGGTGATAATGAGATAGTTGAAGTTGATGAATTTGGATTTATACGTATAGCTTTTCTCGGACCCAATCGAATAACCTGCGGCCTTATGTCTCTTCTACCTTCATACGCAACCTTATGTGAAGCAGTATTAAGACTTGAATCCAGACCATCTGTTTTGCTCAGTTTTAACGACTCAAGAAGCGGCGGCTTTATTGGAACACTAAATTGTTCTTTGTTAACGTTTACGTCTACGTCTTTCTCATTGTTTAATCGTTTAGTTTTAATTTTCCTTTTCTTCAATTTCGATGGCTTGATCACTTTGCCAGCACTTATTCCATTAGACTTGTCATTCAGCGCATTCTGGGATCCATTCCTAAATAGACTGTAAATTCTACTGAATATAGAATTGGGCCTATGACTTTGAGACTGCTTCGATTCTGATTCTGCCGGCGTCATGGAATATTCTGAAGAGTCAGACATTGGTTTTTATACCCCTATATACGTTTTACCTTACGGTATATTCAATTCAGTACCTTTTTAGTTACTTATCTATTTGGTCTGGCTTTTTGTTTTTTTTGATTTCATAAACATTCAATATTATATCCTGCATATTATCAATATTCTATTAGTACCTACTAAATAACCAAATACAGCTATATAAGATTGATAAAATTAAGCTAGATTAAGGTCAATATCAAACAAGAATGGTTAACTTGCATTTATCATATAAGACATTTTGGAATTTCTCATCATCATTAATTTCAAACGTAGACAACTTGAGTTTGTTTGTTTCCAGAAGTTCTCCATTGGCAATATCATTATCATCTAAGAAGTCATCATAATCGTTCTTCAAGAATATATGTACTGTATCATTAGAATCAAGTTTTGTTGATTCATGCAAACTTAACCTTTTACATAGTTTTGATTTCAAGTCACGTAATCTCAAGTTAGTAGGTAATAATAATACAAATATATCGTCGTCATAATAGAATTTGACCTTGATTTTTGATTGTTTTGTCTCAATGACCGTGCCATTAGACAATGCAGTGGGTTGCCCTGTACTAGTTTCCAAGCCAGTACCAGTACTAGCAAAAGAATTCATAAGGTTAGTCGACGACGAGGACAAGGAACGATTTAATACTGAGTCTGATGATGTGGGCGTAGATGATGACCTATTTTGCGTACTTGAAGGGTTATGGAAATTTGAATACTGGGAAATTCTATCCTGTTGGTAATTTGATTTTTGACTTATTGGCTTCAGAAATCTTCTTTCCTTTTGATTATCCGACACTTCTTTATCGAATCCATTATCTAACACCTCCAACAACCTTAATACTTCTTCCGACTTTGAAATATGAGGAGGTAAAGCAATAAGGTTTCTCAAGTAGTAATCCAATTTTTCTCTTCTTAACTTCGAAATACTATCATTCACGTTGATTAAAGGGCCTGGGATAGATGGAATAATTCTTTTAGAATTTTCAATCTTGCCCGCTTCATATGGAAACAACTCCAATAATTTTACTTGCAAATCATAAAAATCCTGGTAATAACGGTATAAATAACGTGTCTTTCCATTACTCAACTTCGCGATGATTAAATATTGATAACGACCTTGGTCTAATTGGTATGAGTCAACTGTTGCTTCTAATATAGAAGTATTCGTTAAACTTAAGGATGATCTATTAGATTCTGATGCATTTTGGGCTTCTCTTTGGAAAAATTGAGTATGCGACGAAACGGGAGGAGCTTGGTTGGATATGGAGCCTAATGGAATAGTGGACGCTTGATATTTGGCAGTCTGATCTTTCCATTCTTCGACAGTGGGAATCTTGAAATCGTTTATAACTTTCACCATATCATCATTACTCTCCTGTGAATTCAGTGGATTCACTAAGTCTATGATTTTAACATACAGAACAGGTACCAAGCCAGGCCCCCCTAATCTATTAATCGGCTTCGCGATAAACCATTCAAATGCATGGTGGGCACATATAATCAAGTTCTCGCCAGGAATGATGTCTAGCTCGTCTTCTCTTTCGGCCTTGAACTCATATAATGTAACAGCATACAAAGTTTGGTTCGAATTTCTTTGGGTACGTGCTTTCTGTTGTGGTGACGACGAATTGGAGGTCTCCATAGGTCTGGATCTGTTAAATACTTCAAAATAGCTAATTGGGACCATCCCCTTCAGATTTGTCATCGGATTCGTTGCCTCACACCATCCGTTACTTTCATGTTCCTTGTTTTCTCCATCCGTCAACACATGGAAGAAATCCCCTTTCAAAAATTTCAATTCTCCTGGTCCCTGTGGTTGATAATCGTATAACGCCTTAATGACCTTCTTTGGCGACTGTAAATCAGCACTCTCAAAGCTAGTATTGGCCGAATGCGACGATCCAACTCGTGAAATCGAGTGCTTGGGCGAATTCGAATTATTCGACAGCCCTTTGTTTCTTCTAAACGCCTTAATCATTACTACGTATATGTTGTTAAGAAAATATTCGTTCAAAGGATTTTAAGATAATTGTGAAACCTGTTTCTGGTAAAAAAATCCTATCAAAAACTCGAGGTCGTGCGCGGTTTGGTTTAATCAAATGATCTAATTTATGTACTAGTTTCATCGATACGTGGTCTACAAAGCCACTCAGGGGTACTACGACAGTGGCCCATGCCCGGTCAAAAATGATATTTAGTTTGTAAGTTTACATATTCTTGGTGTGACATTATGTTTAATAAGGGATATATATTCTGTTAATGTTTCAGCTGAAAAATTAAATTCCTTAAACTCACGCGTCGATTTCACTCAGGAAACATTAGACAGTGTGGACTATATATTGTACAGTAAACTAAATTTAAGAGAAGTATCGATTGTAGGACTATGTGATAAAATTTGCGTTGGATTTCCTAATTGGGTATTAATCCAGTGTAACGAAACTGTATGCAGCGAGGTTGATAATAGCCAGGATTGCAATTTACACAGGACCTGTACGTACTCAGCACTGTTCGAACATGGGCTGTACGATAGTACGTCTCTTCATATGCCGCTCGGCAGTACGTGGGATTTGCCTTAGGAGAGTTGATCCAGAAAGCGGTTCCGAATTTGGAATACGGCTATCATTGTGCACATAATTATTCCATTTTTTCAACAAAGTCCTCTAGGGCCAGAATTTCCGATTCCGTGTTGAATTGGCGGACGTTCGACTGACGTCTGGCATTGAGATTCGACATATACTTAGGGTCAAGGTAGTTGTCTATTGAATTCCATTGACCAGGAGGGGGAACAGAATCGCCTTCAAACGGAAAGCTGAAATCTTCGCCTTGTTCAGATACTTGATTCACTGAATCAGGTGAATAGTCGCTCTTTGCATCGCTGGGACTTGTTTCGTCCGTTCCAGTATCGTAGAATGAATCTTCATATTTGGATGCTTTAGAGCGTCCTGATTTGGTCGCCTTTTTCTCTGCCTCGATTTGTTCAAACTGAAGTCTTAGTAATGATTTCACGTATGACAAGGAAATAAAAAAAATATACATACTTGTCTATACTTGGCTAAGTATATTTTCAATGTTTCTGAATAGTTCTCGAATCCTAGTATATACATCGACCATAGTATGTCTTCACCGTTGAGTGTTTTTCTCTTTTCTAAGCGACCTCTATCTGAAGCCTGACTTGTTATGAATGAAATAAACTCCGAAACACACTCTTGGATGCATTCTTTTGATTCCTTTGATAGTTTTGCATGTGGTGGCAACGCTTTCTTCATCACCCTTCCAACTATTTACGTTAGTATGGGTCTTTAATTCAATTTAGACTCTTCCACATACCATTTGCAATAGGCAAAAACCTATCTTGTTCCTTTATCTCATAATCAGAATTATGCAACGCGGTGTCTGAATTTCGGCTCATATTGATATGGTTTTAGATAAATACTGAACAAATTGAAAAAATTGTCCTAGTTTATGTACTATAATATGCAACATCTAGTAAATGCGAACTCGGTATTTGCAATAATTAATGGCCAGGTTTCTCAGCACCTGCTCAAAAAAGTTAGATTAACGAAGCATGTATATAAAGAGTATCGCATATAAGAATTAATGCAATCAATTTTGCAGATCAGCGAAGCGAAAGAGAAATATAGGGGGAAGTTAGAAGTTTCTACCGGTTTTGGTCTTTCAGCTTACATATGCACGGAACTCTCGAAGTATCATGATCATGGATCTTTTCAAGATTGTAGAATTAGAATATCTGTAATTACAATTTTTTAGACTTTAGCTACAAGAAGAACTTTACTGGAATATATATTATAAACAATGAATAAGAAAGGAATTATCTAACCAGGAGGTAATTGAGAAGCATCAACGATATCAGCAGCATCAACAGCATCTTCTTCTTCGTAAGCACCATCTAATGGAGTTCTTGGTAAGGCCATCATACCAGATCTAGCGATTTCTAAAATCCCAAATGGATGTAATAATTGGATGAAAGAGGAAACTCTAGATGGCTTAGCACTCAATTCAACGATAACATTTCTATCAGCAATGTCAACGACTTTACCGCCAAACTTTTCAGTTATAGTTGAAATGTGAGCTAAGTGGGAATGTTTGTGCCTTAAAGCTTCTGATGGGGCTAAGTTACTTGGGTGGAAAGCCGACTCAGTGGCACTCAAATCTGGGATTGAGGTACCATCACTGGTGTGCAATTTATGGGTAGCAATGAGTTCGTGGAAATATTCAGGTCCTAATAATGAAACTCTTGCTAATAACAATTCTCTCTTGATAATTTCAGCGTTAGTGTAATCCAATACGGCATAAACTGGAACCAAGTCTTCGATTTGTCTTCTTGCTTGTTCAACAACAGCATCTTGTCCGGCCAAGACGATAGTCATACGAGACAAATCTTTAACTTCTGTACTACAGACAACTAAAGAGTCAATATTGAACCCTCTAGCAGCTAAAGTACTCGAAACGGAACTCAATACACCTGGTTCATTTTGAACTAAACAGTTTAAAACGTGTTGCTTTCTTGGTGCCTTAGATGGAACCGGCGTTTCATATAAAATTGAAGAAACTGCAGCATCAGCGGACCAATTTGGGGTTTCAAATGTAGGTAATGGTGGTCTCTTTTGATTACGGTGCAAGGCCTTGTAAGCCAACGCAGAAGTTGAGCTTGATGTCTTGGTTCTGGAAAATTGTCTAGCAATATTACGGCCACTAATGGCACGTAATGAGGATGAAGCAATCATATTCCTAGTTATTTTCTCTCCACTGTAGTAAGATCAAAATATTCAAAGTTGACGAATATTTCATAATTTATCATCGGAAATACCAAACGATGATTCACCCTTTTTTTCGCGACATTTCTGAAAATTCGCCGCGACATTTGCGGCCTGGCGGATCCATGCCTTACTTTACAAGAAATGATTGTTCAAGAAGCAGTAAATAATGATATAAATACCAGCCTAGTGGTGTCAGAAGCAGAATAACAAGCACAATGCTTGTTGAAAAAAGCTAGGTTGAACTTACTTTTTTGTCAAACTTCATGCACAAGATAGACGTCTACAGTTTGCTCGATATCGTGATTTAGTTATAATGCCAACGTATAAATGGGTAAATGACTATGAATGAAAATAAATATAAACGAAAACCAACATGAAAATCCCAAATGCAATGGTCTAATGGTAATATCAAATGTTTACGTATGCCAAAGTTAACAAAAATGCAATAGCGATCTTTATAGGCGACCCAAATAGATCATATAGCGATAAACGAGCAGAGTTCGCCGAGCTAGTCTCTGATGAACTACTATTTCTATGTCTATATCCTGCTGCAGCTCCAACCCCTAGTCCTGCCCCTACCCCTGCTCCCGTTCTGCTTCCACTACCTCTAGAACCACTCGACGAACTACTCGACGAACCACCTCCTCTAGAACCTGATGAGAAACCTCCCATTCTCAATCTTTTCATTAAGCCATTTAAACCTTTTGTTTGTTTTCCGTATTGATGAGCAGCTTCATCCTCAATGTTGAACGGTCTAATGTCTAATTCTTGAGGAATAATGGTTGATTGTATCGAAACGCAAATACTGCATAATATTAATAGTCTAAGAAAGTACATAATCTATTGGTCTACTTTACACTACTCTAACCTGCATCACCTGTGACAGAAGCCGCTAATTATATATATCTAGAAGACGGGCTTTGAAGAACTACTCATGACATGGCTCGTAAAAATTTGATAGCCTCGTCATGTTCGAAAAACGCGAATGCAGCCGAAACGCGACTCGACCTACGGAAAGTGACCTTTGCGTAGACCTATATAGCCGTCCTCTGCATGTTTCACGTCTAACCACGTGTATTTGGGTGCAATTCCACCTTCAATACCCTGATCATTAACCTTATTACCCCACCAATCTAAGGTTGTATAATCATTTTGAACCGTGAAGAAGATGATTAAGGCACTGAACGCTACTCCCGCAGACAATGCACTGGTTAGAATATAATTGTATTTTTCCCACCATAATATGTAATTCTTTTTGATATAGTACATGAAGATGAACGAAAGATAAAATCCACCTGTGTAGTACAGGAGGTTGTAAGGCGCATACATCAAAAATCCACCAATGATGATCGTGGGATGAAAATATCTTGTCAATCTTGATGGACCATTCTTCTTAAACAAGTAGCATGGAATGACCAACAACACTCCTAATAAGAAACACCATTTCAAAACAGGATATAGTCCACTGAATACTTTTGCGGGGCCAATCTCACCATATTGAACACTTGAGAAGAAGAAAGTGTTGGCACCAGGGCAACTGAACCTTTCCTTTTGATGAGAATCACATATATCTTGAATATTGTCCAACTGCCAGTTGGCGATTATCAAAGCAGTTGATACACTTACTATTGTAGATATGAGCTGTCCCTTGAATATTGCTCTGGGGGGTAACTTAGAATAGTGTGCCAATTTCTGGTCGGTAATATAGTTACTAGCTTGGCTATCTATATTATAACCATAACTTTTCAACGTAATCAACGCTATTCCAGAGTTTGGGATTGTGTAACCGACAATTAATTCCACTAACACGTTTAGACCGAAGGAAAACCCTGTGACAGAAGCAATTGCAGTCATTGGGATTAAGAATATAAAGTTAATAAAAATAGTGAAAAAGATACCCCAAATTGGTGTTTCCGTAGGATATAACGACACACAGAATATTGCAAATACGGTACTCACCACCAATATTACTAAAAACCACCAATCCGGGACTTCTCTATACTTAGACATTATCACACAATGCGGATCCTTGCTATATCTCCCAAAAATATTGCCTTTACTGGGCAGGGAATCAACGATAGAATGCCAAACATTTACGAAGCTTGTTTTCATTGATTCCCACTCAGTTATAACGTGAAAAATTATTGCAAAAGGGTATAAACAAAAATAAGCACCATACAAAACCAAATTAGCAGCACTAAAATATGGTGGTCCATATTCTTTATATTTTTTTTCATCAAACATATTTTTATCATTTAAAATGCTGTGAACATTATAGATTTTACCTTCATTGTTAAATAGAGCATTGGAATTTATTGGTAAGTATCCAGTCCACTTATTGTTTGTATAGTAAACAATCAAGATAACAAAGAATCCTATGACTGATCCGAGATATTGGTTCGCATACGTGTAAAATGGAAATGTGAGACAGCCAGCTGCATCGAGAATATTCCAGTCCAAAGTAGGCAAAGGATTAAGACCCAACCCAGATTTGAATCCAGTAACATTATTCAAATGGACCAGATATGGATTTACCCAGGTTGGCCAGTTAAAAGAGGATAATGCAGTAAAAAAATAAGACGGAATCCAGTTGTAAACGAAACTCAAACCAAACATTACGTAGAAAAAGGAATATCTAGATATCTTCCAACCATGGATTGGTGGATTATTTCCGTCTTCTTGGTGCATCAATGCCCTATTTAGAGCAATTGTAGGTAGTATAGTTGGCCATATGGATTTTACTGGATAAATGCACACTTTTCTCATTATACCAGCAAACCCAAAACCTAAGCATTGCGTAGAGAGAGCTAACAAAAGCTGATATACCCATGAAACCCATTTCAACCCATAAAATTTATCTAACTTCATAACAAATATGTTATAAATCAGATATGGAGTCCCCGCGGAACACAGATAAATAATCGTGCTTAGCATCATTTCTTTATATGACCAGGGTCCTGGATTCAAGTTGAACAGGTAACCAAAAATACTGATCATTTTATCATAAGGCATCATTTTCTCCCATAGTCTACCACTTGGTAAAAGTAATAATTGTATGGTGTGCAGCCCTAGTGATATGGATGGTAACCTATGAACAAAAAAGTTATTTATTATTGAACCTATTAATGTCCAGAAAAACCCGATTGCATATGCCCTGATTGTCTCAGAAGGCATTTCTTGTTCATCAACAGGATCTGTTATAGCTCTTATTTCAGGATAAGGTGAATGGAATGCAATCAATGCTGCTTCAAGTCGCACTTGCAAATTCCAATCTATTATATTTAAATATGTCTTATTCTTAAAATGTGTCGGTTTTTCTTCTATTTCTTCTGAATTTGTTTTTTCTATCTCTTGCTTGCCTGATATTTCAAAATCCTCTGGAATTAAACGGACTAATCTTTGAATAAGTTGATAATCTTCATGCAAAAAGTTGAAATCGTCTTTATGTTCAGCTAAGGCCTCTCTTAATATAGTGATTGCTTCAATTATGCTCAATTCATCTATCTTATTGATCATGAACCTTGTTGTTTGACTTATATTTATGTCAAGCGATGATTCTGGTTTATAAATATCATCAGTTATAATACCGAGTCTTAAGAGGATAAATTGGATTTGGTCTGTGGTGAGGTTCCAGTTATTCCCTATATTGAACGCATTATCAGATGTTGTGGTATCATCAACATTGATGTTTGATAGCTCTATATATTCCTGTTCGGGTATATCTGGCGACATTAATGTTGTTGAATTGATAAGTGGCTATTATTGATTGATTTTGTCAATATCAAAATCAAAAACTGCGCGTGAAATTTAACTCGGAGCTGCAAAAAGGCTCATGCTCGCTTTTGGAGTTGAATAGAATAACAGAAAGATATTAATCCTTACTTATTTCTGATCTTCTCTACAACCAAATACCAGCCGATATCGATATCGCTATATATTTGAGCTCTCAAGCCATATGTGATAGAATATCACAGATATTTTACTTTTCATAATATGCTTTCATTACAAATAAGTTGTTCGAATAATAAATGTTTTTGAATTTTCCTCGTTGAATAATACTGTCTTGTTAAGCAATAAGTAGCATGTAGTATTTACAGTTTGTTATGATAACAATTATTATGTGTTTGCCATAAAAAAAAATGACGACAGCTGCAGGATTCGAACCTGCGCGGGCAAAGCCCAAAAGATTTCTAATCTTTCTCCTTAACCACTCGGACAAGCTGCCTTATAGATTGAGAGATTTACTTTGCTAGTTAATATATTAAATTCAGCATTCCAAAAAACTGCAGCATACTATCATCTTCTACAACTATATATACATATGGACATTTATATAATTAGAATCCTAATTAAATGTAAACTCTGTAATGTTTAATTTCTAACAAAATATCTGGCTTTCAATTCAAGGTATATTACGCATAAATTGATACTTACAACGTATAAAAATATGTTAATTTTATTATAACTGACTTTTCTAAAAAATTAATCATTATGGTTTGCAATTTTCTAATTAATAAAAACCCATTCTGTTTTAAACAAAAAAAGCTATTGATCGACTTGCCAGTTGAAATTTGGATAAAGATATTGGGATTGGTGCCTTTAAATGAACTTAAAAATCTATGGTCCCAAGAAATTGTACTTAATAGCAAGCTTGCATACGTAATTGGATACTTATTAGTTAATGGAGATATTCACATATACAAGATTTCTTCCAGATATTGGTCATATTTTGAGCCACCAAGCTTGAAGGCACCGTTGGGTGCGAAAGAATATTTCAATATTTTACGGTTTGGTAAAAGAAATAATTTAGGTTTTATTCCCAAGAGTATAACCGTTATATTTTTTTTATTTACAAGGAAGTGCTACTCGAAATTAAAGATTTTCCTTGAGTTCATTTACAGTTGTATAGACGTTGGATCTATAAATTCTGAAATTGTTCTTGTAAATGGAAATTCGAAACTCTCTCAATTAGAATTTGATTTCGTTAAACCTTTCCAAAATTTTTATCAATTATATCTATTCAAAGTCTATTCTAATACAAAGATAACAGGAAATATAAACATTACTGATCTAGTATTGGAGGTTGATAATCAGAAAGATATTATCCAATATCCCAAGCAGTTGAAATATTTAAAAATTTCTCCGAAGTCGAATACACATCAAACGGATATACACGTTTCATTGAACACTCTTCCTGCCAGTCTAGTACATCTTAAGATTGACCAAAATATTAATGTTTTAGATAGTGGGAGAGTGTTTCCCAAGTTAGAATATTTTGAATGCCTGATCCAACATACTAATAATCATTACCATGTATATGAATTTTTATTAAAGAATAGTCTAACGTTGAAACATATTCGTCTAGAATATAATTCATTGGAAAATTACAATATTAGCCTGTTTAGAGGGTTAAGAGTATTAAATTTAGTCAAATGTGCAAACATACCCTTTCAGGATTTGAACGGCTTACACAAATTAAGGCGACTTTCTTTAATAGGTTGTGATATTTCTTCAATTAATAATATGAACTTTCCTCCTAAACTCAAAGAAATTTACATTTCTCCCGGTAATAGAGATATCCTTCAAGGTTTGGTATTGCCTAATAGTTTAAAGTCAATTACTATTATTGATGTGGAGCATGCCGTAATTAGTAGAGCATAGAACAAAGTTATAAACATCAGAAAATTTGAATTGTTTGTAATATCTTTGATGCTCATGACGTTTCTGAGTAGTGAGATGTTCTAAATAAATTATAGTTGCTGTTTCAAGCATGAATTTTAGCATTTATTAAATTTATTTCTTATTATCAGTCAAATTTTGTAAATATGAAAGCTTAGCATAGTCTTCTGGTGCAATCCACTGTGAGGCTGTTTCTTCGCTTTCTGCTTTGAAATTATCTTCGATATTATCAAAATTAGCCCAATAGAAACATCCACAATCCTTATTTTGGTATTTATTCTCACAGCTCCAGAAATATTTGCCTCTGGTTTCAATGCTTTTGAAAGATCTTCTTAATGTCATGGTTAGATTACAATCACACCGAGGTAATTGCTTTATAAATTGTAACGGATAGAATCGAAACGTTAAATTAAACCTTGCAGCACCAGAGATTGGATTCACTTGCAAAGCTGTTCGTAAAGAATTTACTGAATGTCTATATTCTTCTTGACATCCTGCCTGCATTATAACCATACTATTATGAGGAATTACAATTGAATATATCGGTGAAAGGTCTGTACCATCCGTATAATTCTTTCTTAAACGAAATTCTCTAGTAGCACCTAAAGAAATAGACACAATAAAATTATGAGGCCCTATATGTGACATTCTATCGGAATGCCAATCAAGATTGTTTGACAGGCTCTCATAATAGTTTACAACGCACACGTCGCTATTCCACGTTTCATTTGACTGAAACGGTAATCGTTTAACATTGGGTATTATATTATTATTCATGAAGTCTTTAACAAACCTTGACACGTCTTCGAAATCTTTGTTATAAAGGTTTGAACTACTTTTTTTCCCATTATAAATCAAATTTTGGTAAACTGTATCGAGGTCAGGAGTGTGGAAAAACCCCAGGGAATGATTAGCTTTACAAAGATTATCAAATAAGTAAAACTCATTAGGAGAGACTTTATCTGTTTGAGTCATGAGATATTTAAGTATCCGATTAGCCAAATCTGGAGGCAAGAATGATTTATGGAATGAAACGTAAGGCGATAAATGCTGATCTACCTCTTCCACAGTATTCAATGTTATCACTTTCTTTCTACCAGATACGGCCTTGAGCTTTTTATATTTTGATACCGGCGCAAGCAAGGACGTTATTGACGTCTGATATAATGCACCTGCCTTCCGCTTCTGCTGTGGAGTGGGAAATGAACCATCGATCATCGACCTAGTTGCAGTTACAGACCCATCACAAGCCGCCAACAACTCGATCAACGTATCCGCCTCTATCCCTGGATAATCTTCCTTCAACATATCGACCTTCCTGTCTGTCATGTCTCGCCACTACCGACTCCAACAAGCATACAATTTAGTAAGCGATCTGAAATATATAGCATAATCACATGATTTGCAACATTTTTGCATTTTCATCACAATAATTAGTTTTCAACCAAGCTTTCTTCTGTATGTCTATATTTCAATCGTCTTAATCGTACATTCTATGATCCTAATTGTATCTTAGATATTGTGGCTAAACTTTATATTGTTGACGCTGTGCTTCTGAGGTTCAGCGCCGTCCAAGCCTAAAATTTCGACTCCCTGCATGCCGACCTTTAGTATTTAACAAATAGCAAACGTAGATTGAAAAGTATTAATATTTAGTATTGAATCGTCATTAGCTTTTCTAGATAGATTTTCGTCACTTCTTTATCTTTGTTTACTCATATTATTTTTAATTTTGGATTGCAACTTTGTGTGCGAAGAAACACGGAATCAAAAATAAGATCACATCGAAAATTTTTATTGTTTGAAAGGTACATTCTAGAACCTATAGACATATTTTGACCGACGTCGTTTATAAAGGCATACAAGTCGACAACAACCAAAAGAAATTTTCATCTTACATTATCGAAACTTATCATTAGAAAGATAGTTTCTACAGCGATTTCTATTGAAGTATAAATTCCATTCCAAATTAAAGTAAATATTAAATATTGGCACACAAATAGTGAATCAATGTCCTAAAATAATGACTGAACAATACCCAACAGTAAAATTGACGGAATCTACTCCAAAAAATGAAGCAGGAGAATATTTTGACCAAGACCAAAAGACTAAAGCAGACTCGTCGGCTACCATAGGAAACGAAGATGGAACGATATCACAAGAACCAAAAGCAACACAAGGCATGCAGTTGGATGTCCCGCAAAAGAAAGAAAGAAATAATAATAATGATGATGATGATGATGACAGTTCAGACGTCACCAGCGCTACAATAAGTGAACAAGGAAGCGGATATGAAAGAAACTCCAACGAATGCACAGAGTGCTGTATTGACTTAATCGGTTGTTTCGGATTATTCGACTCATGTTGCCCATCCACTGGTGAGGGTTTTATCACCAATCTCGGGGTATTCTGTGGTAACATCCTCGTTGGATGTTGTAAATGTTAGTACAATCGACACATATTTCAACTATATCCTCATATCATACACCCCTACTGGTTAATCGGTGTTATCAGCCAGCTTACTAGATGGCTTATTCTCAATTAGCTACTTTTGAGTTTTTCCATATATATATATATATATATTACCATACCTTGATCTTTACGATTTAAACGCAATTTATGCTATAACTAAATATCTGTAAGATTTGTTGTCATTTTATTCTGCTTGTGTATGTTGAACTCTATTGGAACATGATCTGTGATCTCTAGTATTTTTGTTAGCTTGTGGTTTTGTTAGCTACTGAAGAAAATATGTTAGATAAGAAAATGGTATTGTATATAAATTTAGTTACTATCGGAACAAAATTTGCGGAATAAATTTGCAACTACATAGCGGCTAATACTCATAATAATATTGAATACTTAGCTTAGGAAAAATATAGATTATAATGAGCAGCGAAACTAATTCGTATAGAGAAAAGGATAGAAACAGAGAAGACTCACCTGGGTCGAATTGTTCAGAATTTTCTAAAGAGTTGAACAACGAGACTGTTCTGGATGATTCAAAAAATAAAGCCGATAGAGGTAACGATCAATGTAACGAATCTAATACTGATGAATGCCAGAAGAGAACTTTGCCTCAACTCTTTTCATTAGAAATTGAAAAGGGTACAGGAAATAGTAATTCACATGTTGATTTCTTGAGTTATCAAGATGCCCCTGGCAAGCTATTGCAACAAACACCAAGTGGTTCTAATGATACTCTTAATAATGCAGTATCTCATGAAGATATAGGCGAACCATTACAGAAATTCAAAATACCTGAAGGTGGTTCATCAACAAATATTAGAGACCCTCATGATGAATTAACTGAATTAAATCAATACATTGCAAATTATAAGATTGATGCTGTTTCACCTCTTTCAAACGAGACAACGACTTTGGCCAGTCCTCAAGAATCACCTCCAATTGCTCAGACTATTCCCAAACGAAATCCGCCTTTCATCAAGTCAAAAATATTAGACCCTATCGGACGATACCCTGATGGACGGTTTTTCAATACCATATTTCAAAATTCAGCTACAACTAATAATAACAGAGACAAAGTAGAGTCAAATGTCAAAGGAGAAAGCAATCGTCCTGTTAATTCTTCCAGCTTGTTGAATGAGAAAGATCCGAATTGGTTGCAAAAAAATAAACATCGTGTAACATATAGTTCACTATTTCTACTCATATTATTATTGCTTAGTTGCTTTATTCCAATAGTTGTCACGTTGTACAATGGTACTCAACATACTGTGCATAATTACTTTAGAATGCTGAACCAAGATGAAAGGCTGAGAATGTTCAAGTCTTTGGTTCATGATTACGGAAATTTAGATGGAAGTAATAAGACAAGAATATCAAGAAGGGGATCTAAAGGTGCTGATTTAGCTGGGTATAATACCTTAAACGGTATTAATCCCAAATACAAAAATGATCCGGAAGTAATTTCATTGATGTCAGATAAAGGATTTTTCGGCACGATATTCTACGGCCTTGGTTATGCTCCTAGGGATGCAATGGAACCACGCTGTGGTGTCAGTAAGCGGGAAATTCTATTAGATTTATCACTAATCTCTAAAGTTACAACTAGAGTTAGAAATTATGGTATGCAATGTAATCAATCAAATTTCATACTAGATTCAATTCAAGATTTGCAACTTAACATGACCTTGGCCATGGGAGTTTGGATTGGGTCTAATGAAACAACCAACACCCAACAAATAACTTGGATGAAGGAAACTTTGAATAAATATCCTAGAGACTTATTCGAATGTATTTTCATTGGAAATGAAGTACTATTTAGAGAGGAACAAAGTAGCAAAAGTTTAAGCAAGTATATTGAAGAAGCAAGATCATTTGCACAAGAAATTGGCTACAATGATTTACCAATCGGAACATCAGAAATTGGATCATTGATTGATAAAACCTTATTAAAGAGCTGTGATATAATTGGTGCTAATGTTCATCCTTTCTTTTCCGGAGGCGAGGTTGAGACAGCTAGTCAATGGGCATTTGACTTTGTTAAATACCAGATTGAACCATTAAATGAAGGTTATGATACTGAAATCATTATAACTGAAGTAGGATGGCCCTATAAAGGTGGAGAATACGAAGCAGCAGTTGCTGACCCTAAATCTTTCCAAATTTTTCTTAATGATTGGGTGTGTGATGCTTATGAAAATGACTATGGCTGGTATTATTTCGAGGCGTTTGATGAACCATGGAAGAAAATATTCTACGAAGACGGAAATAAATGGGAAACCGAGTGGGGAGTGTTCACAAAAGATAGGAATCGTAAACGAAATATTTTATTGCCAAATTGCTAATCTAAAGTTTATAAAATTGATATAATATCCATAACCAGAATAAAGAAAAACAGCCAAATGAAACTGTAGTGTTTAAAATAACCCACAAATCAGGATATCTAGCTGGGGGTAAATAAAAATAATCAACAAAATGAACAATTGCGATCGATATATATGATGCACCTATTACCAAGTTCCAAAACCAATTTATTCTAGGAAAAAAGATATTATTTGATAACTTCATATTAAATCCACCCACTAACCAATTTGACAAAAGTATCACAACAACATATTGCAAAACAAGATTTTCCTTCTTTAATAATGGCCATAAACTGAAAGCTGCTACGTTATTGATCCATTGGATCATGGAAATCTTACTTTTATCATTGATGATGAATAATAGCGTACTTGGTAAAAGTGGCACAAGCACGTTCTTTTCGTGTACCAAAAATGAAAATAAATAGAATCCCCATGATGTAGCAGCAAATCCATAAATCAATGATAAATATTTCACTGGAGACAGCGAACTATTAGAAAATTTTGGATTAAAAATATTTTTATAAGAGATCATCAAGCACGGAGGTAAAATAGCCACTAATGTAGACAACAATGTAATCTTCTTTAATTGGTCGATCGAAAAGATATCTCTATACTTGACTACTAAATTTGTAGTGCACCAGAAATTTGCAACCTTATCTTCAAATAAACCTCTTTCAAATGGAAACACTCTGATTAATATTTGCTTTAAAACATTTAACGTTTCCGCTCTTGAACAATTTGGTAGGATAATAAACGGTGAAATAATGGCAATACTAGTGATTATTACTGCGAGACCAATGGCAATCAATTTTTTGAAGTTAAAGCTTGTCATTAACTTTTTAACGGATCTATCAGAACCTAAGTCGTTATAATTAGTGAATAACTTGGAAAAAAGGTATGCGAAAATAAAAGGTGCATAATATAAGCCCATTTGCTTAAAGTTAATTGAGCTCATGAACCAAATTGACGCTAAGATATAATTTCCTTTGATTAGATCAACTAATGAAAATAAGAATAATCCTAACATCACTGAATTATACTGAAAATGTCCATGATCTATCAAAATAAGTGATGGCTGACACAAGATTATTGTAGATATCACAATTTGATACATTCTGCTTAAATTCAATTTCTTCCCCATAATCGAAATAAAGCCTAATAATGCTGGAACATATATCACCAACTCACTTATCAAGCTGGTGTATCTCATGTATGTTTTCAAATCCGATGATTCTAGTCCTCTCGAAGTGAAAAATTTAAACCAGTCTGAATTAATTAACGATCCTAACTTGCCAAATAAGTACAGGTGAAAGGCAGTTAATGGTGGATAATCGATACCCCAGTATAATGGTTCATAGAAATACCATTTATTGATCGGAAGGTGAATAGTCAATTCCATCCAATGTCTTTGGGCTTCAAAATCTCCATTTATTGGCATTTCCCCTTGTCCCAGAAATGATCCTAGACCAACGGCACTCCTCAAAATAATCGCAGTTAATATTAATATATACCTGGCTGTCCATTGGTCTGGTGCTTTTTCAAAAAATTGAAGTAAGTCATAAATTGGTGAGTTCTCAAACGGAATTTGTGAATTTTTGACAGCTACCAGTTCCTTAATTTTATTAGACTTCTTAGTCTTTCTTTTAGTCTTATTAGGTGTGGCATGTGGTAGCGGTATCTTATTACCAGCCTTGCTGCTCAGTTTTCCCATTTTTTCTAACCAATGCAACTATTTTTACAAACAATTAGGACGATTAATTGTAGATTTATTCAAACAAAATGTAATTTGGACGAAATAAGTTGGATTGATGTGTTGTGATAATTAATGCATAAAGAGAACTTCACGAACAAGGCAGCTTGTCCGAGTGGTTAAGGAGAAAGATTAGAAATCTTTTGGGCTTTGCCCGCGCAGGTTCGAATCCTGCAGCTGTCGTCATTTTAATTTTTTTTGGCAATCAATGGCTTTGAATCAAATGGTCTTATATCTTGTAAATATCAAGTTAGATGACATACTAATCTTAAATTCCTTTTTGGAGAGATGTGATTACTTTCTTATATTGAATTATTTCTTTTTGATGATATATTCACCTCAAAATAGCTTTTTATTTCTTTAGTAATGAAATTTCACTTTGTTAGTAACTGCTGCAGGTTAAAAAGGACATTTATCTATTGAAATAACTTTAGTAACTTAATTAAATTGATCTTGAATGAAGTCTTGGGAAGTGGAATGAATGAATATTGTACACAAATAATAACTGCAATATTTTGCAATAATTGTACTTAAATCACAATTTTGCAACAAACATTTATTTTTAAAAATAGATAGAAGTTAATAAATATAAAACAAGAATACGTATAAAATACCATTAAGAAGATTATAAAGAAAATTGTATATTACTTACTGTTCTTCGAAATAAGTTAACTGGTCAAAACTTACCCACCTATAATAGTGCACCTAAAATTATTATTTGATCAGATCGCAAAATCAACTCCAATCATCTGATCTTTTTATACTTAAGAATATAAGAGCCATAAAGAGACACATAATGTCATGTCAAGGAAATAAATATGAATATGGTGAGCTTGCAGACAAAATTATACTTGCATATTCAAAGCGTCGCCTTTTTAAAGCAATTGGTACTACCAAGAGGGATAGGCAGCAACAATTCTCCAAGCTTGATAATAAAGATAAGAGATTTATACTGAAATTGATAGATGTAGCCAATTCAAATGAAAAGCATAAGTCTCCATCGGAGCTTGATATTGCACTTGATTCGATTGATTTGGCTAAAATATATGAGGGTGTAGATAAAAGAGAAAACGAAAGAGAAAGCAAAGCTCAAGACCCGAATTTAATATATGAAGATTTCATAGTATTAGAGTTATTACATTACTTCAAGCACGATTTTTTCAAATGGGTCAATAAACCTGAGTGTACACGATGCAAACAATCATCTGATAATATTGTACCCACAGGTAACTCGGGTCCTCCAAGTACAAATCCAGGTGAAATTTCAATTATAGAGAACTATAAATGTACTAAATGCAATATTGATGTCAGCTTTCCTAGATATAATAATCCAATTAAATTACTAGAAACTAAAACTGGTCGTTGTGGTGAGTGGGTGAATTGTTTCATATTCATATTACGTGCATTGTTAGGAAGCCAATCCCAAATAAGATACGTCTGTAATCATGAGGATCATGTGTGGTGTGAATACTATAGTTTAGGTTTGAAAAGATGGATCCATCTTGATCCCTGTGAAGGCGTATTTGATGAACCAAGACTTTACTGTGAAAACTGGGGTAAAAAAATGAGTTGGTGTTTTGCCTTCAGTGAAACATACATTATGGACGTAAGCGATAAATATATTACCAAACCAGATAAGCAGATTAACAAGCTAGAATCTGTGTCTAGTTTGAGAAATATTAAAGAATTCATCGATACTTTAAACGATGATAAGTTGGTTAGATATTATTCGAATATGGAATTAACGGATTCAGATGAAAACAGAAACTTGGTGAGATTGTATCAAGAAGTTATACTTATACATAATAGCGAGAAATTAAACAAAGAAAATAAAATTGAGCTATCCAGAACAGACAATATCCCTACCGGAAGACAAACAGGAGATGCTGAATGGACCAAGTCTAGAGGAGAAGATGGAAATAAATAGATTTAATTGAAAGCGTAATTCATTAAATAATAAATATAGTTATATAATACAAAATTAAACCAGAATCATTAATCATAATTATAGATATTTCAAAGATACTAGGAACTTACCAGAATACCTTTAGAATGTCTGAATAGTTTTAGTCCAACCCAAGAAGCGCAGGACCACCACCAGAAAACCACATAAATACACCAACAACTTAGCACGTAATAATCGAGGTGTTCAAAAAATGTAGTTAATCTGTAATATTTAGGTCTAGTCATGGGATCTAATGATAAGGGATATATTACAAAGGACCACACCTTAAACAAAGTATTCATCGAAATGATGAATACTGTCCAACTTACAAATAATATAAGGTAGCCATATGTTGCCAATGATATTTCTCTTCCATTCTCAGATCCATCTGACTCTACAGATGTATGGATAAACTCAGGTCTTTCTATAAGTGGGAGCGGGTCTTTGAATTCCATAGGTCTATTGGGTCTATTGTGTTCTGTCGAAGAGTAGATATAAATTTAATGCCAAATTTCTCACATTCAGAAATATATTTTCTCTCCAAACTAAAGGAAGAAGGTTAGACTATACAGGGTTATTTTATATATTAACTACCCAAAAGTATACGAAATAATTATTCATTTATACTAATTTTAGAGGCTCCAAGCAACTGTGGAGCTATTTCTTGAAGCCAGCCTAATTCAATAACGGAACAATTTCTGCCGTAGCCTTTTGCAGTATAAACATATTCTATATACATTATTGCATCAAGATTAGCTTTACCAAATAAAGTAGAAGATGGATGTATACTAATAAGCTGACCGGTGGTGCATGTTCTATATGATCTATCGGGCATACCAATGGCAGTATTAGTGATATATCCTTTCAAGAATGATTTTAAAATTGCAGGAACATCAAGAGGTTGTTTAGAGACACCCGTATCGGCGTCTGAATCATCATCTAAGAGCGATTCAGCATCAAGTTGTAATTTAATGTTCCTTAATTGTTGATCTTTTTCATGTTGTTTGAGAGTATCGTCTTGTCTTACGGTAGCCATCATGTAGTCCTTCAATTGATTTCTAACTCTCATAACATTTTTGAAGCCCTTATAACTGAAGTGCAATTCCTTACACCACGCTTTTGCTTCAGAAATATTGCCGTTATCTATTAATTCTTTGTAATAACTGAAGAATTCCTTGACTGCAATTAGATCACCCTGCTTGCATCCTAATGGGCAGTAATTACGTCTTCTAAAATTTATTTCGTCCCTGATTTCTCCGTTACCGCTTCCCACGTTCAAAATTAAGTTGTCCACAGAAATACAAGCAACTATATCTATTACTGAGCTTAGAACACCAAAATCCAACGCACTTAATAAAACAACAGAAAGTTGAGGAGGAAGTGGTAAGATGGACATCTTATATCCTAGTTTAGTTATCTTACCACTATCATCCAAAGCGCCCAATGAGTATAAAGTAGTCAAAGCGCTTAGAATTGCTTCTTGTCCTGGATGCTCTAACCACGTCCAATTGAGTAGATCATCTACCCCAATCTTCTTCAAAGTCAATATTGGTAATACAATGTCATTTCTCATAATTTCGGACTCTTGCTGTTTTGGCAATTGTTTGAAAAATGTCTTCTCCAGATACAAACGAAATACCTTACCAGGTGATTCTCTACCCGCTCTACCAGCTCTTTGCTTCGCAGAAGCTTGAGATATAGGTGTAGTTAATAAAGTCGATAAACCTAATTGGTGTTTCCATACCTTTACTTTTCGAAGTCCTGAATCGATAACATATTTAACTCCACTAACGGTAATAGATGTCTCTGCAATATTCGTAGCTAAAATGACTTTTCGTTTTCTTCCTGGAAGCTTTTCAAAGATTTTCAGCTGTTGGGCTGGCGATAAGGCCGCATAAAGTGGTAAAGCGACAATTAGAGGCGCCTCTCTAGGTAACTGCGGTGCAATTTGTTGTAAAATATTCACACAACTATCAATTTCTTCCTGACCTGGTAAGAAACAGAGAATATCACCTTCTTGTTCGGACATGTTAACTTGAACTATGCTTCTGACCATAGTATCTGCAATATCCTCTGTTGAATCTGCCAAGTAATGTTTGGAAACAGGATACATCTTACCCTCAACGAACAAGATTGGTGCATGGTCAAAAAATTTACTAAATAGTTCAGCATTCAAGGTGGCAGACATAATTATTATTTTCAAATCAGCCCTCTTTTTAGAGACAATTAGCTCTTTCAAGAAACCCATAATCAAATCGGTCAAAATTGTTCTTTCATGCGCCTCATCAATAATAATTGTGGAATATTTATTGAGGTTTCCATCAAGCATAATTTCTCTTAAAAGCATACCATCAGTTAAATACTTCAACTTAGTTTTATGGGGATGTGTAACGTTAGAAAATCTAACTTGATAACCAACTTCTTGACCCAACCGACAACCATATTCTTCACTAACTCTTGCTGCTAAGGATGCGGCTGCAACTCTACGAGGTTGCGTAACTGCTATTTGTTTTCTATTAGTCGGCATTAAAAATTGTGGTATTTGTGTAGATTTACCGGAACCAGTTTCACCAATAATAACTGTTACTTGGTTCTTATTTACGTACCGGAGTATTTCATCCTTATGCTGATATATTGGTAATTTTTGACGTACCTCGTATAGATCAGACGCTTTCTTCGATAATTGCGAATTAGTTAAATCTTTTGACTTGTAGTATGAATTATTCCCTTCGTCCTCATCTTCTTCACTATCTTCATAATTCACAACTCTTGCCACCTTTTTGGCTTTCATGCGTTCGGTAGTACTTTGCTCTATGCTCTTTTTAGGTTTTATTATTTTCTCTTCCGTCTCATCGCTGAGATTTGCGTCTATTAATTTGTCGTCATCCGTACCTGTAAGCTTCACAGGCAGATCATTATCAGGAATCTTTAAGATATCGCCGTTACCGCCACTATCATCACCAAACTTTATTTTCTTATTGTTATTTTCAGTTGGTAATTCATTAGTTTCAATACTTGAAGCGGCTGTTGGGGAATTTTGTATCGTTGATTTCCCCTTATTATTTCTCCTTCTCTTTCTTTTCTTCGAGTGGTTCGATCCTTCCAATACTTTTGAAAGATCTGACGCTGTATTAGACATTCTGTAACGACTATTATATGTATTCTGTCAAGCTCCTAAAGACATCCTTCATGTCTTAAAAAAAAACGATTTTTCATGTAGATGATATACTATATACAGTATCAGCAAAATGATTATAATTCGTCTTTATAAACTCGAATTTGTACTAATTCCTTGAAGGTTTGAGACGTATTAATAATATGATAACTAAACTTATAAGTGGGAATGGTAGGGCAAAGTCCCTTTTCCCTTTTTTATCTAGCTTAGCTAGTAATAAAAGATTTCAAACCACAATGCCTACAGTTCTGAAAGAAGACTTGCCAGAAACTGTTACTATTATTCCAACAGTTTCTGAATTAACTAAACATGATAACTTTTCAGCCGATATAGATGTGTCATTGGTTGGTCATTTACAATCTCGTTATTTAGTTGAATCTATAACGCATGATGATTTATTTAAGTGGACAGAGCCATCCTCAGAAAAGAGGTTCAAGTTATACTGCGGAGCTGATCCAACTGCAGAGTCTTTACATTTAGGAAATTTGTTGCCGCTAATGGTATTACTTCATTTTAATTTGAGGGGACATGATGTGGTGGGTTTAGTTGGTGGTGCGACTGGTGCTGTTGGTGATCCCAGTGGCCGTACAACCGAGAGAACTCAGTTAGCTGAAGAGAAAAGACAAAACAATGTAAATAGAATTCAAAACCAGTTATCCAATTTTTTAAAACAAGGTGTCGAGTATGCGAAGTCAAGAAACTTTCCTATTCAAAAGCAAGGTCAAATATTGACAGAAAACAATGCCAAGTGGTGGGAATCCATTAAGATATTAGACTTCTTATCTACCTATGGGAAACATATTAGGGTATCCGCTATGTTAGGACGTGATTCTATTCAATCAAGATTAAAATCTGAACACGGTTTGGGGTTCAATGAATTTTCGTATCAGGTATTGCAGGCATATGATTTTTGGCATTTGTTCAAAAATGAAAAGGTGAATTTACAAATAGGTGGAAACGACCAATGGGGTAATATTACTGCAGGTGTTGATTTGATTTCTAGACTACAGAAGCATTTTAATAGGGTTTCAAAGCCTAAAGACAAAGTAGAAGAATCATCATTCGGAATGACTGTTCCATTATTGACAACTCCAACCGGTGAGAAGTTTGGAAAATCAGCCGGAAATGCTATATTTATAAATGAAAAGTTAACTACACCTTACCAGTTGTATCAATATTTTATTAATACACCGGATGAAATAGTTGCCAAACTCTTAAAAGTCTTCACAATTTTGCCAATGGCAACGATCGAAAAAATTGTTCAGAAGCATAATGAGGATCCAGGAGTAAGGGCAGCACAGAGAATTTTGGCTCGTGAAGTAACCGACTTGATCCATGGTAATGGAATGGGAGATAAGATGGCCTATGTAACAAGCTTTTTATTTCCTACACCTGATCAACCCTTCATTGACGATATTTCGGCTGATAAATTAATTAGTGTATTTGAGAAATCAGGGATTTTGGTGAGATTTAAATTCGATGATTTCAATATTGATGATTTAAAATTAAGTACCTTGTTGGCGAAGGTGATGAAAAAATCAAAGACTGAAACCAAAAATTTGATTGCAGCAGGGGGTATTTATTTGGGGCTTGATAGGAACCAACATATTGATCCAGAAGATGTGGTCTTGTTCGACAAAGATCACTTAATTGATGGAAAATTATTACTTGTTAGAGCTGGAAAACAAAATTACTACGTTGTTGAATTCAGCTGATTTTACGCTAAAAAGACATTTCGAACTTGTAAATATTAACTATACTAGAAGCTTTTTATTTAATTTAATAACACATTAATTCATTATATTTCGCAGTATTAGCCTTACATTTACTTAACTGGTTGGCCTTAATAGCCTTCTTTTGAATAGCCACAGGAATGTATCTCTCTAAGATCAATTTCCGCTTTTCTTCAATTAGATCTTTAAGAGTTTCGATTCCAAGAGTAGAAGTTTTTGGTAATTCAGCAAAACTTACTCCCAACTTAAGCAAATTATCTAACACAGTTAATTCTAATGAATAGTTTTTAAGTTCTAAATCCAAGGCTCTATAACAGTCAGATTCAGTTTCGTAGACATACCCCCATTTATGAAACCAATCTTTTTGAGAATCATCTTTAAGAATGGTATCTTCATGAAAATCTGCATATGAACGATCACCATTCAATATGATAGATTTAATCTCCTCTGAAGTTAGATATTCAAAAAATTCATTGGCGGCATTCTTTCTCATTTTAATTGGAACATTACAATATGAATCCCACGATTCATGGCCACCAAAGTTTGTCATAGGCTTCTTAGTTGGATAAATCATTTGAGAATTACCAGTTCTATCATTCTTTAAAAATGATAAGAAAAATTGTCTTTTAATCTGCGTTGAAATTGAACCAAAACTGATAAAGTAGTAGGGACCTGTTTGATATCTTACTATGTTTGGTATTAATTTATCTCTCATCTTTAAGTCATATGCAATTTTTATCCATTGTGAATCCTCAACCTCTTTGGAATGTGTGTAAAGAAAAGGTAACCTTTCTAGAACTAGAGCTATAAATTCAGTTCTATTAAGGTGTTGCTCTTCTTTTGATTTTTTCTCCATTCGTCTTCGTTTATAATTTTTTATTATTTTGAGAATATACTCATAGCCAGATATTACAACATTAAAAATAACATTTGTAATTGCTTGAATTGAATAGGTAGTATCCTTGTTATGTCTAGCAGAATTTGATGCAGTAATTAAGTAAGAAGGCTTAATGAAATGCGTGGACATGGAACGGAACGGTTCAGACATATCTTTCTCATTCAGTTTACTTAAATGTCCCATAATAACTCGAGAAGACTATATTATGAAGTGTCATAAAGAATACACAAGTTATAATGTATTATCTTACAGATTGATTTCCATCATGAATATACGGAATATAGATATAAATACTAATAAAGTATTAATAGGCTGCAAAATTGTGTATGCGCATACCTAATTTTTTTTGAGCAAAAAAAATACGTTCACATTTTTGTGTGCGAAATATCATATCTATTAGAAAAACTATAAAATCATGCTTGTAAAACATCGCCAACAGCTTCAATCACTTTCTTAAAAACTGATTTATTACCTGCAACTACCCCTTGAGAATTTAAGTGTCTTCCATTTCCGAAGTTCAATTCGTTACCATGAATATCTCCTACAAGCCCGCCACTTTCATAAACTAAGATATTACCAGCAGCGTGGTCCCAAATCTTTTCACGATATGTGTCACTGATTGGTAAACGTAAATATACATCGGCTTGTCCTTTTGCCAATACACAATACTTAACTTGGGAATCTAAATTAATAGTTTGCTTTGAAACCGTCTCATTGTTGAACCCTAACTTATCCTTTATTTGCGATTGAGTTGAGTGAGAAGAATGGCCCTTTTCTACACCTTCAACAACCTTTAATGACTCTGGTGAAGTATGTTGAGTCATTTTGATCTTTTCTTGCTCGGATAATGGCGTGAAATCTTGTTTATCAAATAAACTTGAATAGAAAGAACCTACACCTCTAACAGCAGAGAATAACCCTCCTTTTGTACCACTCATTTCCTCATTAGAAATAACTGTAGCTGGTAAATTTGGACACCCAATAACTCCTAACACGACTTTTCCGTCCTCGATCAACGCTAAACAAACCGCAAATTGGTCACCTCTTAAAAACCCTTTGGTACCATCAATTGGATCCAATGCCCAGAAGCGACCTTTGGAGCCACCTTGGGAATTACCCAAATCAATGCTATCATATATTTCAGTCTCATTTTCGAGTTTTCCTAGTCTATCATTATATTGGCTGGTTTGGGATTGCACATTCGAAATAATTTCTAATACTTTAGCACTTAAGTCTTTCCCTTCCGCATTATCTTTTCTTAACACATCCGCATCTTCTTCACCTACGATTTCGTCTTCTGGAAAGTTGAGTTTAATCGCATGGTTGATAATAGCCTGAGATGCGTAGTCTCCGATAGTGACAGGGGACTTATCATCTTTGGTATGCGTCCCAGACTTTTGCGTAGTAGCAATTGAATCACTCAATTTCTTTGTCAAGATTGAGGTTCTCATAACTGCTATGGACGCAATCTCTAATTCTTTATAATATGGATGGTTTGAAGGTACTGTAGACATTGTTGCTTTGAAGGATACGTTAGTGATCTTTGATGGATATGATTTCAGAATACTACCGATACAAGAAGGTATTCGTTTACAACTGCTAATAAATATCGACAACAATACAGCTAATAATGAGAAGTATACTGCAAAAGTAAAGTATTTCATTAGCCCTTAACTCTCTTGATGTAATGTTAATGAAGTTCTGCTTCTTAATTGTGTGCGATCACGTGATAATTATAGACAAGCATTTATCGATGGTTTATGTATTAACTAATTCACTGAAAGACATATATGGCTGCCGGATATGCTGCTTGTATCAAGAGGAATAGAAATATGTAGCATGAGTAATTATAGGTTTATATAGGAGTCTAACTTCGAGATAGGTGATTCACCTCTACTACCAGTACAATAAATCCATTTACTAGAGGTAATGTACACAAAGACCTTTATTATAGGGAAGATCATAAAACCTGCGTCATCCGCACTGGAGCTGAGTATTAGATTGTTTATGAGAACCACCTAGCTTCTATTAGATAACGATATAGGACTTGCGATGCATAAAGGCTTACTAATCCTAGATTTGTTTGTGCTGATATGCCTAACGATACAGCTTTTGCCTATCATATCAGTCCCGATTACGGGTGAAGGAATTGGATATAATCTACATTTGTCAAAGTATGGAAATTATACATTCGGTGTGCTTGGTCTATGTACGTCTAATAATATATGCTCGAAGCCTAAGATAGGATATCCACCAGAGACAGATAAATTTTATTCGTTTATGGATGATGAAAATGGTGAGTATCCGGATTTTGCTGCTGCAGAGCTTCCCTCCAGGGCTAGATATGTTATTTCTAAATTATTAGTTGTTCATATAGTGGGCTTTTGTTTCACTGCATTATTATTCATATTGAGTTCAACTTTAACTATAATATTATGGCTTGAAGAATCTGAAACGAAAGTGCCTTTTAAAGATGCAATTAGGAAAAAGGCTAAAATACGACAGAATAGTAGGAATAATAGTTCTACAGACCTTACTGAAAGTACATCAGCAACCAAAATGGACTCATTATCAGATAAGGAAACGGTGAACAATGAGCGAAAAAAGGATATCACTCCATATTTGAATTTGATGCTTATGCTATCACTCCTATCATTCTTACTGACTTTATTAGCATTCTTGTCAGACATATTGTTGTTTATCCCACATTTGAGTTATTTAGGCTGGCTTCAACTATGTCCAATAATTTTATTATCTACTGTAACCTCTATGCTTTGCTTTATAAAGAGGTCAATTTCTTCAAGAAAATATCTAAATGATGAATATAGATATGAAAATGATGATATGAGAAAGCGTGTAAATGTTGGCGTGCTAAACTGGAAAGATACAGATAGTGATGATGGGTTCTATGTTTATACGAACGGTTTTTACAGTAATTACAATAATGATGATACTCCTCAGGAAGGACATAGTCACGCCCCTGAATTATTTCCAGCTAATATTAGTACACATAGTGGGTGGATACGACATTCAGGCCATAATGAAACTGGGGATGATGTTTCAATAAGTTCCAGTAGAGATGATAGTTACAATGAGCATGAGAACATTCAAATGAGGCTACTTAATGACCACGAACATGACACTTAATTGAAAATAATCTTTAATTCGCAATAATTTGACTATTAAATTAGTTGTTTGGGTAATTTATATTTACAATATTAATACATGGCTACTTATATATATTATTATGCAATAGGCTCAGACCTTAGAGCTTGAATCTGTTCCACGTTCGATTTTTGATTAAACCCGGAATATAATTCTTCACATAAACTTAATGCTGCGTCTGATAATTTGATATTATTATCGATAACTAACAACCTAATAAGTTGTGATAATTGCAAAGATTTTGTGTTGACTGGATCGTTACTCTTAGACTGTATGCATTGTATTTTTCTAATAATCTCTTCGGAAAATTTTGATAGTAAATTTTCTCCGTTATCACCCAATAATACTAGCTTCAAAAAGTTTTCCAAGTCATGAACGTCAGACACAGAATGGTTTAACAATACATTAAATGAAACTTTACTTAAACCCTCATGAAAAAATGCTGGTTTTAAGTTTGATAAATCCCTTAAGATAGTCTCCTTACGTGTTAGCTGATTCGTTCCCTCAGTTGTATTCAAAAATTTTTCATAACCAGCTAAAAAAGAATTAAAAGTTTCTTTAGAAGGTGATAACTTGTAATTCTGAATCAATATAGATAATATTTCGTTAGCCTTGAGGATGTTTGAAGTCATTGTATATAAATAGGATAATTTATCTAAATATATTGGATTTAACTCAGATGTTATTGAGGGATATATTTCGAATATAGTATTATCCATAAATTTCGTAAAGGTATTGAGCTTCATTTGTATAGTTGACAATTTTGATTCATGCAAATTATTAATGAGTAAAACAAGAAACTGTTTTAGGCTTTCAAGGGTGAAGAGTTGTATGTTTTCTTCAATGAATGATAGAAATATATCGAAGTTTTCAACATTTTGTTTGACTTCGTCAGAATTTAACAAGTATGAAGACATGGCTTCGAAAGTAATTACTGGTGAGAATTCAGATTGTGTTGAAATTCCAGTCACTTTCTTTTCACTATTTTCAAAGGCCTTTAAGAACTTAAAGGCCTTTTTCAAATTATCCGATGTAAGCAAGTTGTTTTCCCCTGTAATTTCTTTGTAGTTCTGCAATCCTTTTGATATTTGTTCTATGAGATTCTTGTTTTCATAATTCAATGATGCATCTTGTTCTGGGATATTTGATAGATCTTGAATTTGATCATTAAAAACTTCCGCCCATTTACACGTAATAGCAGTGAAATGTAACATAATTGGTTCAGATGTTTTTGAAGGGTCTTTCGACACAAACTTGTAAGTCGAATCGCCTATTAAAGGTGAATCTTTCGCCAAACAAGTCAAGAAAATATCCTTGAAGTCAAGTTTCATAATCAAGTCGGCAACATCATCTGGACTACGAATTTCATAATGGTATTTCTGTAAGTGATCATACCTTGGTTTCTTTGGTATAGCTGCCTTATTTTGTTCCGGTGTTAATTTTTCACTCTCAAATAGAAATTTTTCTTCATTGGGAACGAACAGAAAAGGGGTTCGAGTACCGTAACTTCTTATTGACGACTTTGCATTAGTACTAATGAATCTTTGCAGACTTCGATACATATTTACTAAGGGTGTAACTAGAAACTTACAATATAAGTAGTACGTATTGGCTTTAAACACTGAAGATCGAAAAAAACCGGATAGATTATGTAACCGATTACGAATTTTTAGATATGAATCAGAAGTTTCATATATGTTTAATACCTCTTGCTAGTACTTATTTAGAGATGCTACGAGTACTTAAGAAATATCAAAGAAGGAGTATTTTAATTCAAATACTTCTTCTAAGATATATATAGCAAAAATTTTTTATATGGATTTTGTCAATATAAGTTGGTTTCTCATGACATTGTTTGCAGCTATTGCAACATCTACAATGCATGATGGAGAGAAGAACAATGTAGGTGGAATGTTACAAGAACCCACATACTTGCAAAGTGAAATGATAGAAAGTATTATGTCAAGACATTTAGAATCATTTTCGTCAACAGAGTCTGATTTTGAAGACTTAATATTTATGAAGCCTAGGTCCAAATGCGTTAAAGATGCATTAAAAGATATTATACCTGAATGTATGAGATTGGGTATAGATTCAATAGAGCCGGGGCTACAAAAGAAAGCTGCCATCCAGTTATCTATTTGCGAGTTTGAAAATTCAAAAGTTACCTATCCAAGCTCGTGTTATAATATGATCAGTGATAATGATTTTGACAGCTGTATAATTGATATAGAGAGAGCACCCCAATACTGGACAACCTTTAGTGGATACTATAGAGAAATTACTAAAATATGTTACGAAGAGTCTTTACCTTTTGAGAAGGAGCAAATAATCTCGTTGTATTCGAACATCACAAAGCTATATAGTAAAATGTTTCAAGATCTTAATGATTCTTATAAGGAATCCACTCACATACAACAAACGATGAAAAACGAATTCAAAGAATTACAACGCATGATTAAGGTTATTTTAGACCAAAACGAAAAAACAAGCGAAGAAGTAAAAGAAAAATATGAAGAATTTTCTGAGCACTATACGTCAATGTTGCTGACTTCTCTAGAAATATCTAAAAATTTTTCATTGGGTAGTGAAAGCATTGTGGAAGATATGGCAAATAGTATTAAGTATTTGGATTTTGAATTATCAAGGATTTCTTTCGCAATTGAAGATTTGGATTTCGAAACCAAATTGACAGACATGAAGAATTCAGTACTAGATGATGTTCGAAATTTATCTGACGAATCTATATCATTATTGGATAATATACTTACAAATTTAGAGTCGTTAGATATTTTATCCCAAGACGCCCAAAATGTCACAAACGGTATTTCTCAATCTTTAAAAGAAAATGAAGTTTTATCTAAAAATATGAATAATGTGCTAATAGAGACAGATACGCAGCTTCATGAACATAACGATGTAATCAGATTTGAGTTTGAAGAAACTATTTCTTACCTTTCGCAATTCAGCGACCAAGCGATAGACAATGCTATTAGAGATACAAGTGAAGAGATAACTAAACATGTTGCTACTTTTATCGATAGTATCAATTCAAGGCTTGAGGAAACTACGACCAAGCTTGAAGAAGTAATTTATAATATTGATGACCTTTCGGATAAAGTAGGTAATGCATCATCTTACTTAATAGAAGGGTTGAATCTTTTGACAAGTAATGAGATTATGGATGTATTATTATTGACGTATAATAATGTAGCTTCTGGCTTGGAAAGTGGTTTCGGAATGCTTTCTACTCTCAAATCTGACATATTTAAAATGGTACGTTTTATAACGGCATGTGTACTATTTGCAATATTATTTATTTGGAGTATGAATAGATTGTTTTTACAAAACCGAATGAAGCATGGAACATTATCACTGATAAGACCCATGAGAATTTCATACTTCAGTCGTATTTTTAGGTTCCTTACTAACCTAGCATTATGGCTATCTGTTATGGGTGGAACACTCTTAGCTGTGATTGTAACGAATTTTTTAATACAATTAAAGATTTATATTTCCAAGTTATCGACTAATGATTAAGATTATATAGTTTGTATTTAAAAATGAGTATAATTTTTTTCGCAATTATTCTTGGTATGCTTTTCTAGAATTATTTCCGAATTCGGGATGGTTCCAAAATTTCAGAAAGCGCAAACGGTGGCATACAAGAATTAATGAACATTTACATTTATAAAGTTAGACATCGAAATAAATAAGTATAGTTGTGGTGTTTTCAAAGCTTCTAATGGATTTTTGTTGTAAAAGAAACGGATACGATCTTTCTCGAGAATATGGTAGAATGGAAGAAGGATTGGAATTGCAACAAGTGACATGGAAATCATGCAGTACGGTATTACCCAATTTATGTAATGAAATAGACAAGGATGAAATATTGGTTGAACTTGATGAAGGAGAAGATTTTTCTGAAATAATTTCAATAGGATCTTGTGGAACAAACAGTTATACTGAACTATTTGATAGTTATCTAGTTTGCGAAGAAGACCGAAGTGACTCCACTATTAACGAACTAGATTCAAAAAGAGATGATGTCCCTGCTGTTTCTACAATATTTAACAAAGAAGGCCTTCCAACTATTAATATTTCACCGCCAGCTCCAGAGGATAGAAGCATGGCCTGTTTTCAATCTCGACTAGGAGATAAATCACATTTAACGGTTCCTCCAAAACCAATCAAAGGTGATTATTACGGTAAGAGGTTTTGGGTAAAATGTGATAAAATGTTAACTAATACTGTTCCTTCGTGTATTTCGAAGGATTTGGTTATACCGAATGAAAATATTATCCTATTATTACAAGAAGAAGAGTTTAAAGTTTGTAATATCAATCGCACCCACTATACAAGAGGCGCCAATAGCCCCTTTACTAAGATATATTCAAAGTTTTGCTACATGCATAACAAGCAATTCAACAAGAATATACCTTACAGGACTGAATTTTTAAGGTATTCTCAAGACCAGAGGGGAGATATCAACTTGTATTCAAAATGCGGTCTCTGCCCTTTTTGTCCGAGCATTGTGTTTAAGAATATGGAGACTATTGATTATTACGATCATTTATCTCTACTTCATGGAATTACTAGACATAATCTGTTAGTACCAAATCCACGTTATTTCGGCCTTTATAAATTTGTCAAAGATGGCGTGGTTTATCACCACCAAGGAGTTACATGCACGATTTGCGGCGATGTTCTTAAAATTAATAATTCGAAATCACTATATAATTATATGAAGCATTATAGAGATAAACATTCTTAATGTGTGTATCGTATTAGAAATTCTAAAAAATTTAAACCTTCATAGGTAATTTTGCAATCGTCGAATGTAACTTTGCTTACATAACATAGATTGAGAAATTGATCATCTTATCAGTATAATAGATGCTAAAAATGCATAAAATAGTTATCAAATACATGTAGTGGTAAATATGATGAATAAACAATTCCTAAAATTGTGGCTTATAGTATGGCTTCAAGCTTTAGGGAATTTAAATTTAACACTCGGAAGCGCTGTTCAAACATACATAACTGATAATTCACCTGTTCCGCAACCAATCGATCACGAAATATATTCAAATTTATTCACATATGCACATTTAATTGACATTTCGTATTGCATTTCCCAAGGGAAAAGGATATCGAAACCATTCAACTGTGATTTAGATTGTGAAAAACGCTTCCCCAATATGACGTTGGTGCACCAGTGGTGCTTTGCTGATTCCGTCTGTGGTTATATTGCAAAAACCTATCGAAATATATTTTTCAATAACCATACTGATGCCGAAGAAAACCCGAGAAAAAGTATAATAGTGTCATTAAGAGGAACACGGTCAATATTTGACACTTATAAGGATCTAAAAGCGAAGATGGTCAAATACACAGAGTTGGGCCGTAGCTTACCAAGATGTGGAAATGATTGCAAAGTTCATCAAGGGTTTTATGAATATTTTCAATATACGCTAAATAATATACATAAGTATCTTGAAGACGAGTTGAGTGAAGATGATGATTATGAACTTGTTTTTCTAGGTCACTCCATGGGTGGGTCAATAAGCTTATTACTTGCATTACATTATTTAGATCTAGGATATGACAGGTTGACCTTGGTCACTATGGGTCAACCATTAGTTGGTAATGAAGATTTTGTACATTGGGTTGATAAGGTAACAGGAAGCTCAGTTAAACCGCAACATAACTCATTTAAAAGAAAATACTTCAGGATTATTCATCGAAACGATATTATTACAACTATTCCTAGGAGTAGGAATTTATTTGAAACTTATTATCAGTTTAATAACCAAATATATTTGAATTGTTCTTCGGCAAATTACATGCCTTCTCCGAATCAAGTAATCGATTGCATTAATGGCAATAATTTTCATTGCATTAAAGGAGATATTAGTTATAATATTAACCGTAACTATTACGAGAGTCACAATACATATTTTAGAAAATTAGGTTTATGTGGAATTAAATTATGACTTTATAGTAATACATAATCATGTTCTACTGAATGCAAATTTAGGCTGATCATCATCATCGTCATCTTCACCAAGATCATCATCATCATCAACAGGGCCGTTGCGAGTTTCGTTATCATTTCGTTTATTACCTGGAGTAAGCGTATGATCATGTTCTTTTTGAACCTCATCTTCTGGAACGAAAAGGGTTGGTTCATGCAAAGGCTCATTTCTAATTCCAAACGAGAAACTATCTACATCGCGATCATGAGCATCTTCTAGGCTGATGGAATAAGGTTTATACCCACTGACATCACCCATAAGTTCGCCAATATCATTCATCAACTTCAGTTGTTTCTGTGTGCTTTCTTTGTCCTTAGTATTATTTTCAATAAACACATTATCTACACCATCACCAACAAAAATCGGTTGCATATCAATAAAAGTTTTTCTTTCGTTTGTCAACAGTTTATTTTTTCTGAAGATTTTGAAATTTTTTCTTTCCTTATATGAATTATTAATTTCATATGGAACAGGCTTCCTTCTCCTTATAGAAATATCAATCGTTTCGACAATAGCTAAATTATTCAAACCTTCATTTAAGCCATCGCTTTCTTTCTCATCAATACCCAATTCTTCACGAACATTTTCTTTAGCTCGTTCTTTAGTAGATTTTATGGCATCAAGGAGTGAAATTTGTGGTATGAATTTGCCAATCTTCTTTTCTTCTTTTCTCTTTTTTAATTTAGGTTCTTCTTCCGTGGAGTCGTCAATTTGCCTCTTATGCGTGGTATTATTGCTTTCTTCATTATTTTTATTAGATGAATCACTTAAGGGTGTATCAGCATGAACAAATGACCGGTCGTTATCGTTAGCAGTATGTGAACTATCAGGCAAAGCTAAATTCGAATTACTGTTCATATTATTCTGCTTCAGCTGTTCATCAGCTATATTTTTATCAACAGAATCATCAAGTGGCAGAACTTCAGTCTTTATGGGTGGTTTAAAATCAAAAAAATCTGTTATTCCAACTTTTTTGAATTTTCTTCTTTTTCTTTGCGGTTGAGAGGATACTATTTCAGCTGATGTAGATCGTTTCAATTCTCTTTCAAGATTTAAACCTTGCAAATTATTCGTAGACACATTAACTACACTCTCATACAATATTGCTTCAGTAACAATCTTGCTTGAATTTGATTGCGCAAAATCATTTAGTGCTTCTTCTATTTGATTATATTGCTTTACATCATGATCGTTAAATTCCATTAAAAAGCATTTATCACATTCGTCTTCTCTTACCTTCATTTTAACGGTAGATAACAAATTTTGATCAATTTTTCCGTCATAATAATACTCAGAGATATCAGCGTTAAAAACCTTGCCTCCAAGAGAACTTATCCATTTGGATAATTTGTCTTTCGTATCATGAAATATAACAATCATTGAACTACTTAGCAATTTGCTTCTTTCCTTGTTTGGCATTAAATATCGATTATCTTTCGTAGAGAAAGGTAGGAATTCACCTGGATCAAGCTCTAGGAGCCATTTGTCGAAATTGTCTTTATTTTCCATTATGAAATCTGTCCAATCAGTATTTAGTATAGGTATTCCTCTCAGTAATGAAACTTTAAGTCCGTAAGTTAAATGATCCGAAAGCGTGAGGTAATGACTAGCATAGAAAGGGTTCTTTGCGATACGTAAATCGATCCCATTATCAAATAATTTAAGTAGTTCATCAGTTAGAGGATTGGAATCCAAGTTACCGTTCACCATAATTTGCTTGGTATATCTACATATGTTTAAGGGAATCCACTCAATTGTAATAGTCATAGCATTTTCTTCTTTGAAGGTTATAGTAATTAGATTTTCATGCGTGTAATCATTCACGAATGGCGGCTGATCTTTTCGAAGTTTAACTTTCTCACCATTGATCCTGGTGATGGCTCTAGATTGAATTTTTATTAATAGTGGAGACTTTAAATCACAGTCATAAATATTGCTTCTAAGTACTGGTTTGATTTCGATCTGTAGGTGTTCTTTCGAAATGTAAATCTGATTAAAATAAATGAAATTTGATGATCCTACCTTTTCTGACGACCTACCTAATTGATATACGTTATCTGGCCGTAGCCATTTTTTATAACCTTTATTATTGGTTAGTCAATCAGCTAATTATTTGTTAGAAGCTAATACATACTAGTTTGGCTATCGGTATAGGTGAAAATCCACATAAATAGTTAAAAGGTAGAAAAACTCTTGTTTTGCATAAATTCGCTTTATACAAAATCCATGAGATTTCTTATACACAAAAAGATACAAAATGAATATTATAAAACGATGTTAAATGACTACTTTAAAACTAGTATATATATTATTTAGAGATGCTCTTGGTTTTCTTTGGCTTCGTAACCTTATTTAACTTTTGCTGTTCTTGTTGATGTTGTTTCTTCAATTTCTTACCAATAATCTTTGCAACTTCATCGGCATCACCCAATTCCAATAACCCTTTTTCAAAAGTAGATAATCTGACTTCTTGTTCATCATCAGTATTCTTTGAAGGCTTAGCATTCTCTTCTAAGACATCTTCATCGTCATACAATTTTTCGGCATAATATAATGGCAAAGAAGGCGACAAATCCGTCTTGATCATTACACTTCTTAAAGAGTCTTTATCAAAGTGAGATAAAACATCTTCCAAATTTTCAACCAATTGATTTTGCTTAAAGTCGCTGGTTATAGATCCAATCTTGACTGAAATATTGACTCCAACCGGTGGTAAGAAAAATGTACTGTTCAAGCACTTATTCAACTGATTTCCAATGGTGGTGATCGAGAATTCTTTATTGTTTGAAGTGGATGTGACTCTGATAGGTAATGGGATTTTGGTGTTACCGTTACCATAAAATACCTTCCCAAGTAATGTAGGCATCGAGTTTAATAATGCATCATCAACAAGGAATAAATCGTATTCAGAATATAATTGACGACGCTTTTCGTAATGTTTGTATTCAGTTTTTAAGGCGCTCAATGGAATTATCTGTTGTAAAGTAGGTAAGTTTGCATTCTCAATAGTTTCCAATTGTTCAGAGTCTGTGATTAATTGGTCACGAATGATTAAACAAGTTTTCAAGCTCTTCGACTCAGAATTGTGAATAGCATTGCTCAACTTAATCAACTTGGGCTTGAAGTTTGGCTTGGTAGAATAATATTTCTTGGTGGTGATTTGTAAAAATAAATTTTTAGTTTCCTCATCGTTATCAAATAAGAGCGTTTTATCTGATTGTTCTTTTTCAGTTTCACGATCTAAGAATTTGGTTAATTCACTTATAGCCTTATCAGCAACATTCTTGGATACTATTGAACTCTGTACTTCTTCATTTTGTAATTGTTTTACCTTAGATTTCTCATTTGATTTAGTCTTAGGTATATTTTTACTCTTTTTGATAGAGGGTGAAGCAGCTGGTGAATTAGCAATACCACCGTTCTTCTTGGATTTTGTTGGTGTAGGCACCCTAGGAGAAGCAATACCTTTAGATCTAGTTCTAGCCATTATTAATATGCAAATAAGTTATAGACTAAGGTTATAAAATTGATTTGTTCCTATATATTTCTATCTCATCTCTGCAAGTATTTTTCGCATAGTCAAAAATTTTTCTAGACGAATTATATACACACCTTGTCATAAATCTTATCATTCTCGACATCATTCATGTCATTTTCTGGAACAGAACCATTTGAAATAGGCTAGCTAGCATATTGATGGTATCGAGACTTTAATCTAAAGGAGGAGGGATTGAAGTTTTTGCAATCGGTTTTTTGGAAAGGGCATCAGATTTATTCTTGTTATTAACCGTATCTAGCACTATTGCAGGGACCCCGTTATCTATATCTTCAAACAATACTTCTGGTTCTGTTTTCATGTCCCTAACCTCATAATCATTTTCTTCTATCTCTTGATCTTGGTATTTACGGACATCTGAGCTTTGAAGTCCTCCTAACCTTTCCCAAAGTAAATGAGACAAGTCTTGTGGCGAATAGACTGATTTGGCATTGGGTCCCTCTTCAACCCTATCCCAGTGGTCCCATTCCGCCGGAGGTGAAAGTGGAGGTGAAATTAGAAACCTTCTGCTGCCATCTTCCAGCGGGAGTTCTAAGTAATCTTTTGAGTCCACCTTGCTGGCAAATAAATCGGCGTCTGAACCCAGAATGCTCCAATGATTATCTCTTATGCTGTATGTGATCCCCAAATGATCCCATTCACTGGAATGCTTAAGCGACTGCAACACTTCTCGTGAATTTTCGGTTATATCACATATCACCAAAATTCTGCCAAATTTAGGTAGGGCGACTAATTCAATCGTATAGTTCTTCTTCGACAAAAATTCAACCAAAGGACTGGGGTCGTTTAGTATCCCAGATGTTACGTTTGTCAATATCAACGTGTTAGTAGGGTTCCGTATGGTCATTGTTGTTTCAGAAAATTGACTTGGTGATGTTCTTTACATTTAACAGCGGTTTAAATTGTCACGCGAAAGGCTATACTTTTAGTTATCGTTAACAACAAATCACTTCTATTACAATGTCGTGTGAAGATGAACATCATAATCATGGAAACGGATCGGGGCATGGCCATCTGCATGTTGCTCCAATTCCAACGAACGAATCCCAATCACTTTTAAGCAAGATCGATCTACCCCATGCAACCGCATTGAATTTGGCTAATCCTCCGGACGATCTACAAAAGATCTTTAGATCTCAGGAAGACAAGTATAAACTCAAGCCCATCATCAAGACAGACTGCGATCCCCAGATCATTATCAATATCCCGTTTTTGAATGGATCGGTCAAACTCTTCTCGTTAATATTACGAACTAACGGTGATAAATACTGTCCTAAAACAATAAAAGTCTGGAAAAATGACAAAACGATTGATTTCGATAACGCCCACTCCAAGAAGCCTACCTACACCATCACCCATCCCCAGATAGGCGTTATGCTTAACGATGATGAAGACGTGCCCGACATACTAGAGGACGATGGTGATTTCGTAGAGCATTATTTACCTCGTCATATATTCACTGGTGTTCAGCAATTGACATTGTTTATTGATGATATCTATGATGATGACGAGGATGAGTCTCATTTGCATTACATTGAGTTACGAGGTGAGTTTACCGAGTTGACGAAGGACCCAGTGATTACTCTCTACGAACTGGCAGCTAACCCTACTGACCACAAGAATCTAACAGCTTCTGAGGCCACTAACTATTCTTTAGGTAATTGAGTCAATATACGCTTGTTTGTTATTGCTGAACGTTTAAAATGTAATTATCGTATTAACCGTGCAAAGGTGTGGAAGGCTCAGAGAAGTCCGAACAACCGAAAATTCGTTGATGTTCTCGCCCGGGTGAGGAATTGACGAATATATAAAGACACGGTTTTGCTATAAAATTTCACTCTACGATCGATATATATATATATCTTACTGATACACACGATATACTACTTAAAAAATGGTTAAATTAATCTTAGTTAGACACGGACAATCCACATGGAACGAAAAGAACTTATTCACCGGTTGGGTTGATTGTCCTTTATCCACTGTTGGTGAAAAGGAAGCTGCAAGAGCTGGTGAATTAATAAAGGAAGCCAACTTAAAGGGTGACGTTTTATACACTTCCAAGTTATCTAGAGCTATTCAAACTGCCAACATTGCTTTGAACACTGCTGGTCAATTGTATCTTCCAGTCAAGAGATCGTGGAGATTAAACGAAAGACACTACGGTGCCTTACAAGGTAAGGACAAGGCCGCCACCTTAGAACAATACGGTCAAGAAAAGTTCCAAACCTGGAGAAGATCATTCGACGTTCCACCACCAGTCATCGCTGATGACTCTGAGTTCTCCCAAGCTGGTGACGAACGTTACAGAGATGTCGACCCATCTGTGTTACCAAAGACCGAATCTTTGAAATTGGTTATCGACAGATTGTTGCCATACTGGCAAGACGAAATCTCTAAGGACTTATTGGAAGGTAAGACTGTCATTGTCGCTGCCCACGGTAACTCCTTGAGAGCATTGGTTAAGCACTTGGACAACATCTCTGATGAAGAAATTGCCGGCTTAAACATTCCAACTGGTATTCCATTAGTTTATGAATTAGACGAAAAATTACATCCAACCAAGCCAGCTTACTACTTAGACCCAGAAGCCGCTGCAGCTGGTGCCGCCGCTGTTGCTGCCCAAGGTTCAAAGAAATAAGTTTTATAGCAACTTTAATTGAACACCACCTTATTTATCTATTTATATACCCATTACGCAGTAGTTTGTACCCTGTAAACGATTCATTCACCGAAGATTTTGGACCTTATATTCATTCAAAATGGAAAATTACACAAAAGTGCCAAAAATCAAAAAGGACCATCGTTTTGTAAAAATTAAATATCGATAAACATACTTGATACAACTATCACCAACCACATATAGTAATTGGAAATAGTGACAGGGGATTTTAATACCAACATAAAGTCAACTAACATAGTGTTATCTAGAAAACTGTCCAATTATCAATATGTCAGGATTTAGCTTTGGAAATAATAATAATACCAACGCAGGATCATTTTCGTTTGGAGGTAACAATAACCAACAAAGTAGTGGGTTTGGATCATCTAATGCGGGAGGGTCAGGGTTTTCGTTTGGATCAAACCAAAATAACAATACCAGTGGCAATGCTAATGAAGCATCACAGTCACTTTTTGGGTCCAATTCTAACACGTCTAATACAGGCGCATCAGCATTCCCATTGAATAATAACAACGGCAGCGGATCCGGTTTAGGCTCGAATGCAAATGCATCATCCAGTCCTTTTGGTGCTCCTAAGCAACAAGAAGGGGGACTTTTTGGGAATAAAGCGGCCACTTCCAATTCGTCGAACTTATTTGGCAAGAACGATAATCAGCCTAGCAACACATTCGGATCTAATAATGGTGGTCAGTCAGCATTTGGTTCTAGTGATTCATCCACACCAGCACCAGCATTCAATCTAGGTGCTTCAAAGCCAGAAGATAAACAAATAGAGAAGCCATCAGGTGGATTATTTGGTGGTTCTAATGATTCAAAGCCGGCATCTGGAGGTCTTTTTGGTTCCAATGACAACAAACCAGCTACAGGTGGCTTATTTGGATCTAATGGAACCCAATCCTCGTCTGGTGGATTATTTGGTGCTAAGAAAGATGACAGCAGTGCTCCTTCGGCGCCCAAACCCACAACTGGAGCATTATTTGGCTCTAGTGAGTCGAAACCAGCCTCTGGTGGATTATTTGGGGCTAAAATGGATGATAAACTGGCTTCAACACAATCTTTATCCGGTGGATTATTCGGTGCTAAGAAAGATGACAGTAGTGCGTCTTCTACACCAAAACCAGCAACTGGAGGCTTGTTTGGTTCTAGCGAGTCGAAACCAGCTTCAGATGGATTATTTGGATCTAATGGAACACAATCTTCTTCTGGATTCTCATTTGGTGCTAAAAAAGATGATAAAAAAGATGACAAGCCTGCTCCAGGATTCTCATTTGGTGCTAAGAATGATGATAAAAAAGATGACAAGCCTGCTACGGGATTCTCATTTGGCGCTAAGAATGATGATAAAAAAGATGAAAAGCCTGCTCCGGGTTTTTCGTTTGGTGCTAAGAAGGATGAAGACAAAAAGGATGACAAGACAACTCC